TTAATATTAATTCGTGAAGCGTTTTAATGAAATAATGTTTCTCTCTGTTTCTGGGTTGGAATTCACTGAAATTTTCAGTCAACTCTCATCTCGCCATTATAACTACCGAACACATGAGTTAATTGCTGCAGTAAAGCTGTTTGTTGCTTATCATAGCCAATTAAGGGATCTGAATAGTTTCCAAAAGTTTTCAACGAAATTTCCTTCGTTGAATATTTCCAACGAAAATGTCGTGATTTCATTTTTGAGTAAAAATTGTTAGCGGAAATGTCCCGTTGACTCACCGCCTAAATTATAATTTATATACATGAATTAACTCTACCGCCGTATTTCACTCTTCGTGAACGTAACTTTCAACTTGATTTACACGTAAACTATTGAGAGTAGCAACCTGAAGACGTTGGTATGCGACAAAGAACATTTTAAAGTTGTCGTACGTGGCGGCAACCATCAGTGCAAGTCATTTTGTGCTCACTAGAACGTATCTTTTTTGGGAAGTAGGCTTGTGACAATATTGCTCCGGTTACTTATGTCAGGCGGTAGAAGATTAATAACATTTAATATAACTATAATAACATAATAGTTTCAACGCATCGTTTCAATTACAAGCACCGGAACACATGGGCGAGGCTGCAGTTTGATACTTACGTAAGTGAATGAACCGACATTTACCGCTCCTGCTGATCTAAAATAAGCGGGAGCTGACCTTTGCAGAGTCTGTCGAACGCTGGCCGATGTTAGACGCCAAAGGTCGAGATTTGAATCATTGATGATTTTACTGTATCCTAACGCTTCATTTTATTCGCACGTATCTCAATTTTTATGATAAGGTTAGATAATATAATTATACAATTTATTGTCCTTATTTATAAACTACTAACTATTTGGAGGCATAAGTTTCGAAAACTGGAGAGAATCTGAGAGAAATGCTACAAATTTGATATCGGTGTTATGCTCACAATATGATTATTGCAAGACTCCAATGAAAGAAAATCAGAGCAATGACCTCATCGCTTTATTGAACAAAGGATTCAAGCTCTGAACAAAGAAAGCTATTTGGAACGTAGTGAGCGAATTTAGAGTACAAAATGAATTTCGTCAAGCTATAGAATTGTAGCATGCAGGCGACGAACGTATATGAAAATTTTGTCTGTATTTTGCTGGCTATTTATTGATAATTCATTCGATTATTGAAAATCAGTAATCAAATAATTATTATTTAACAACTATATTTATAACAACCATAATACAAATAAATAGTATTAACATTAATCAATTAGTGGTCAAATAAAAGTGGAATCGTTAATTGAATTTGTGCACGAATTTTGGTCGAATTTGTATACAAATTTAAATAAGGTTCCCTTCGAATATATACGATTATAGTTTATATTTCTTATATATTTTCTGGCTTTCAAAAGCCACTAAAACGCAGTGTTTTTGCAGCCTAGAATCCTTGAATTTTGTGCTATCGTGAAGTTATTTTCATTGTTCTCATGGAAACGAATTTCACTCTGTTTAGTGTCAGGTCCCATCCGGATTTGAATAAACTTCGCTCCATGAAATTTCAGTGTGCACTAATAAAATTATCAAAAGATGATTTAGAAATTTACTTTCAGCTACTGGCTAATTATCTTCCACATCCAAAAAGTCTGATCTTCATCCTAAATTATCCACTAAGAACGCAGCAATAATTAAAATAAATTATTCATTTACAATATATATTCACTATCATTTCAATTCCAACTAGAGCCATTCATCTTCTATTTGACTTACATGCGCGGTGACCACTAATTCCAGGTGGGCGTCTCAATTTTCTAAAATTGCTGCAATTTCTCGGCCCTGATCTAGACTGATAAATACTATTCATATTATTGTTCGTTTAATGATTGTCAATCTTGAAATGCTCATAGGAGAATATTTTCTCTCCCTGGAAATAAAAGATTCTCATTTTACTTTTTCAGTGACCGCGTCAATGTCACTATCGGAATTTTACCTCCTGAATTTTCCAATAGGATTTGGACAAAGGCGTAGCAGGGCTGGGGTGAGGCTCACGAGGTGTTCGTTATTGTGCCAACGGTAATCGATTTTAAGGTCTGGTCTCCATGGCAGCCAAACCAGGTCACGGTCACTTCAAGAGCCAGGCGCTGAACACCAAAACCAAATCTTCGGAAAACTGCTGTAGTCGCGGCCGGTCTCCATGCTTTCTCTTGTTCGGATACTGATATTGTGAATTAACCTAACTTAATTAATTAATCCAACAAAGTTAAAAATACAAGATCAATTTAATTGATTTTGTTTTTGTCGCAATGACAGTTTATTTTCTGGAGTTTTTACTATGTATCATTGTGATTGATGATATAAGCTTCACAATAAACCATCGCTCCTCGAGCTCTCTACTATGAACGTACATGCTCCGTGTGGGGAAGTCATAATGCAGCAGATTTGCCAGGTTCTCAAGTGTCGAATTATTATCAGATAGTGTTATAGATTCGTACAAGAAAATCTGTTAACAAATAGATCCGAATATTTCTGCAAGACAACGATTCATCTGTGACTCGTGTCTCTTCGTCATCGGCAGGAACGATTCCTCAAAGTGCAGTAAAAGTTATTCGCTGAGCTTCAATGAAATTGGATATTTTAGCTATGTAAGTGCTTTTGGTTGCTCTAGAAAGTATCCTATTCGGCATAATGTATGGTCATAATTATAAATGCTCGGACAGTGAATATTTATTTTTACATTGTATCCATTAACAGCGTCGTGGCTGAATTAAAAATTATGGCATATTACTTGTCAAATTTATTTTCGAGGGCAGAATGACCAGTCTATTCAAACCGTTTATGAAATGTTACTTTTATTAGTTGTATTAAAATTATTATTTCTCATCATTCGAACTGTGCATTCAAACATGGTTTTAAAATCCCGACCTAATTTTCAAATTTGTTTCATGAAGTTCACGCAGCACGAATTATATATGTCATGAACACAGCGTTTAATAATCATCTATAAGGTTCGATTTCATTTCTGTTTTTTTCGATTTATTTATTTTTTTCTTTCGTTCGATTTTCTGTAACGAACGAAGTGGGACTCCTATAAATAAAACATGCGTCGTCGTGTATGGAAGCGGCTTTAAGGAAAATGGAAAGTTAAAGAGTTTGCATGGGCGTGTGCGAGAGGTGGAGTCAGAGTTGGGGTAAAGAGGAGGGTGTGGTCAACAGGTCGCGGCCTGTCTGGCCCTCGTCTACCTTAGCTACCCCTCCTGTACGTCTGTCTTGGTCACCCCACCTGTACGTCTGCCCTAGTTACCCCTCCTGTGCGTCTAACTGTGCTACCCCTCCTGTACGTCTGCCTTGGTCACCCCACCTGTACGTCTGGCCTAGTTACCCTTCCTGTGCGTCAGCCTTGGTCACCCCACCTGTACGTCTGCCCTAGTTACCCCTCCTGTGCGTCTGCCTTGGTCACCCCACCTGTACGTCTGCCCTAGTTACCCCTCCTGTGCGTCTGCCCTAGTTACCCCACCTGTACGTCTGCCCTAGTTACCCCACCTGTGCGTCTGTCTTGATCACCCCACCTGTACGTCTACCTTAGTTACCCCACCTGTACGCCTGCCCTAGTTACCCCTCCTGTGCGTCTGTCATGATCACCCCACCTGTACGTCTACCTTAGTTACCCCACCTGTGCGTCTGCCCAAGTTACCCCACCTGTACGTCTGCCCTAGTTACCCCTCCTATTCGTCTGTCTTGATCTCCCCACCTGTACGTCTACCTTAGTTACCCCACCTGCGCGTCTGCCCTAGTTACCCCTCCCGTTTGTCTGCCTTAGTTCCCCCAACTGGACGTCTGCCCTAGTTACCCCTCCTGTGCGTCTGCCTTGTTCACCCCACCTGTACGTCTGCCCTAGTTACCTCACCTGTACGTCTGCCTTAGTTACCCCACCTGTACGTCTGCCTTAGTCTCCCTTCCAGTACGTCTGCCCTAGTTACCCCTCCTGTGCGTCTGCCTTGGTCACCCCACCTGTGCGTCTGCCTTGGTCACGCCACCTGTACCAACCATGCACTCCTGTTTCCGTTCGTTGCATCGCGGTGCTCTGATAACGACGTCACGTGCTTCACCTTTCAATACCTGGCACGTGTTGCGTACATGACAGTCAATTGCTTCACCTTTAAATACATGGCACGTGTTGCGTACATGACAGTCAATTGCTTCACCTTTAAATACCTGGCACGTTTAGCACAGATAATAGACACGTGTGAATGGCGATTCAAATAAATAAACAAAGCTCTTTGATGAAATGCTTAACGCGGTGTAGCATTAGGTCTTCTGATGGATGTGGGATGTAGACGTTATACTCGCAAAAATCAAATTTTCTACAGATTCGAAATATGGCGATTATACTATTACATTACAATAATGCTAAGTCGAACTCGGAAACATTAAGAAATAATATTTTTATATATTGTCAGGATGTGGGCGAAGTTCGGGAAGAAAAAGACTTCGCAATAATGAAAATATTTCACTCAGGAATGTGGCATTCAGTAGCGTCGGCGTGTAGGTGTTATCCATGAAGAAATGAAACGCTCCAATTTTTGCCCGGTGTAGAAAGCTCCGTTCATGACGGTGATGGAACATTTGTCCTCGAAGTGTTGACTTTGATGTCTTTTTATGCTCCATGCTAAAATATTTTATTAAAATTTATTCATGTATGTGATTTGTCAACCTGATTTTTTTTCAGCAATAATTGTTTGATGATAAGGAACAACAAATGTCTCATGAAATTTAAGCAAAAGTTCACATTTTAGCTCGTTTCTGATCTTTCTTCTAAACATTGAAAAAATGGGGCTTTCGAAGTCCATCCAAGTTCTATGTGTAAAGTTGGTGCTGAAACAAAGATTATTAATATCACTCATGTTATAATATTTTCATAGCTAATGGACTCGATTTAAAGAAAATTCTGAAGTTGACCTCTTAGAGCTGCTTCAAATGAATGTGACAATGTCAACTTGTAAAACTTTCATTTTCTGAGCGAGTTATAGTAGGTTAAAGGAAGTCATACTTAATTCCAAGATCCTCAGGACATTTCAAAGGAGTCAGTTTTTGCGTCGGTTCCTTGCAAGCTAATCTCTGCTGCGGTTGTCCTTTTAACGAAGAATAATCAGGCAAGATGGCAAACGCAGGCCATCTCATTCGGCGCACCTCCCAGCGGGAGATGCTCGCACCGCAGAAAAGTTTAGAGCGCTACGAAATGCGCGACATGCGCCGTCTCATGTCGGAAAACGGAGCCCCCAGCTACGGGGCAGCTAACCAAGGCTACGATGAATTCCAGGTCTGTAGCTTTTTACCATATAATAAAATGCTTAATTGAATTATTAAGATTGTTTTTTGACTCCTAAGGTTCCTGGTATATCCCAAAGGATCTCTCTTGTAAATATTCTATATTCAATGTTTTTATTATTCTATTGTGAAAAATGTATACTAGTTCTATATTGTGACTCATATTGCAGCTCGCAAATTCGAAAATTTTTATTACGTTCAATCTAAATAATTTATGACGAGGTCTTTTTTTTTTAACGAAATTGATTGGAATTTGAATTAGATTTGGTGAGATTTTAAATAAACAGATTTTCAGTTTATTTGCTTTTCACTTCATTAGTTTCACTAAAAATTTTTGTGTGGGTATTAATGTCATCAAATTGCCACTTCTACTGTCAAAAAACTTAGCCAAAATACAGTGAAATTTTGAATTCTAGTCACGATCGTAGGTTCCGTTTTCCCGTGTATAGTCTCAAATTTCACATCCGATGGCCACCCAGAAAATTTAGAATATTGAGCTTATATTGCAAGGAGCACGATGCCATTCTCAATTTCATAAATATAGTTTTCTAAAATATAAAGTTACCGTGCAAAACGATACCCGATCAAAATAATGGGATGCAGAGGTGAAGATAGCATTCTAGCAAGTTCAGATGTCTCTAGAACATTACATATGATAGCTTAGTTATTGATGAAGATAGACTTACGCACAATTAGACTGTGCAAAAACAGATTTATTGAACCATAAAATTCACATCGTGTAATTTTCTAAACTTCATTCATGTGACATAGCGCCTAAATATTTGTTATGGCTGGAATTAAAAGATTTATGAAAATCTGAAAAGATACTGAAATAGTCGTTTTAATATCCGTAGACTACTTATACAAATTTTCAAGTTCTCGGTAATTATAGCTTTGCACTGACTTCTTGTTAAATTCCTTAGTATAATCAATTGATTTTTTTGTGTCCTGATCCTGGATGTAGAAAGTCTCGTCTACTGGTAGATATTATTCGGTTGTCATCCCAAAATTTCTCGAAAATTTTTGGTGAAGTCCAGAATATTAGCATTCGAGTGAACAAATATCCATAATTATGCATGATTTTTCCTTGAAAGACAAGCGTAGTAAAATTTGTATTATGATTAACTAGGTGTATTTAATTATATATAATTTTTTCAAATTTCTGGCAATTTTTTCCTACTGTGCAGAAGCGAACGAGCATGAAGAAACGTACGGCTTCTGTTACGATCCCGGAGGAAGTGAGTAGTCTATAGCCACTGGAAACTTCATCTTTCATTCTGAATGATTTTTGGCCGAATAAAGCAACACAGAGAAGCAATAAGCTTAGAAAAATTCGACTATTTGTGCAAAATCATAATTTTTCTTTTGAGTTGTTGAAAATCTTGAATTTTTCGTATTCCAAGATAGAACTACCATTAACTCTATGGATTTGACTCACGTAATATATATAGTATTATGAAGATGAAATAAAGGTAAATTATAGGAAAACCAATTGAATTCTTTAAATGTTCATCGATTAAAAATCTGATATCATTCCATCCATTTCTAAAAGATTCACATTCAAGTTTTCCCATTACAACCTACAACCACTAAAAATATTTCATTCCTATCATTTTTGTATAGCCAAAACCCAACTCAATGTCGCTGACCCTTGCAGTAGCTGTGTCAGATATCCATTGTCGTGCTTACATATAATGCTTCGATGCTACAAATGTAATAGCTGCCTTGCCTGCTATTGTTGCTTCCATCCTCCAATTTGTTCTGTGCCATCCAGTCATATAAATTCAATGGATTAGCATAATATAAATCCCATTCCTTTTAAAAAATATTTAAAGAGTTTTCTTCTTCTGCATAAATTTTTGTTAATGTATTAAGTTCTCAAGTTAATTTTAATTACCAAACTTTTAAACAATAACAGTTATAATATACATGTAATGTTTGTGCCTGTTATCACAATTAGTTGTTACAGTACGAGTTCAGGCATTGTCGGGAATAACACGTTTTATTTATTTAATTTAGGTGGACAATCAAGCAAATTAGAGCTCATAATTTTTTGGCAAATTCATGAAAATATTATTATTATTATCGTCACTCGCTGAATCGTCGCGAGAATTTTTCATAAGATGAATTAAATATAAGGATGATTATTCGAGGTTATTTGCCGTAAACATAATTGCACTCTTTTTACCCTAATATGGCTTGAGGATATTTGTCTCTGAATTTTTTATTAGCTTCAAGTTATGTCAGTATATTTTAAGGGAAATAACTCAGGGTGAATATTCAAAAAACGGCCTGTTAAAGACCACGGCTCCGGAATCTAACTGTTTCTTCTCACAGGACCGCTTCCTGCCTGTGCGTTCGTCTACGTCACTCACACATCTCGCGGTAACCACGCTTACCATAGACCTGTTTTAGAGACGCTAATTATTGACTTGTTCTAGAAAAGCTCATTATTGATTTGTTGCAGAACCGCTCACTATGGAACTGTTCCAGTACCGCTCACTATTGACTTGTTCTAGAGACGCTCACCATGGAACTGTTCTAGAACCGCTAATTACTGACTTGTTCTAGAAAAGCTCACTATTGACTTGTTCTAGAAAAGCTCACTATTGATTTGTTCCAGAACCGCTCACTATGGAACTGTTCTAGAGCCGTTAATTATTGACTTGTTCTAGAGACGCTCACTATAGACCTGTTCTATAAACGCTAATTATTGACTTGTTCTAGAAAAGCTCACTATTGACTTGTTCTAGAGACGCTCACTATAGACCTGTTCTAGAGACGCTAATTATGGAACTGTTCTAGAACTGCTAATTATTGACTTGTTCTGGAGACGCTCACTATAGACCTGTTCTAGAAACGCTCACTTTAGACCTGTTCTAGTAAAGCTCACTATTGATTTGTTATAGAAACGCTCACTATTAACATGTTCTAGAAACGCTCACTATTGACTTGCTCTAGAAATGAACTAGCACAGCCGTTTTCCACCTATAGATTTCATAGAGTATTGATAGTATAAAGATAGTCTCCTTCATGAGTAATGTAACGACATTGAGCTTTGTTTTGTTTCAATGCTGATATTCTTCTATGAAAAGAATATATCATTGAGCCAGCCATCATTTGATTTTTTTTTTGTTGAAGAAGTGATAAAGCTTAACGATATTTCAAGATGCTACAGCTTTGCTTTACTTATTTATTTCAAAATAACGTGCATTATCCTCGGCGGCGCACGCAATAATTTCGATAGCGATTTTGTTGCGTGTTAGTTCCGTTATAGTTCGTAATTGAGTGCATTAATAACCAGATCAGATAATTATTAATTATTTGAATTAATTCTTTTGCGTTTTGAAAATTATGATCTCCAATTTTTATTATGGCAATGCATGTAGATACGCGCAGGCGCAATGCACTGTTGGCTTCGTTTCGAAATAATTTTCTTTTTTTTCATGATTCTTTACATGGCCATTAATGCAGCAGGAAGATGAAACTGATTCATTTTCTTTTGAACATTGAGTTGATAATCTGCAGGTAATGGACGGGAAGTAGAGGTTAAAGTTTAAATGAATCGAGTAGAATTATCCTAATTTTTTCATTTTGTGAAAAAAACAATGAGTTTCTCATTCGTGCTTTCTCAATGAGTTCGTGCACCTCCATCGCCATACATACCTAAGATTAAAGCGTTCACTTAAAATTAAATAGAAAAAATATTTATAATACGGATTTTTCTTGTAATAAGCGTGGCTAGCTGGTAGTTTTCCTATCTAATAGTTAGTATTATAATTGCTCGTCCAGATAAACTCAGTGGGCACACATGGCAATCGCGAAATTTCTCTTGCAGATATTGTATCTCTAAGTATGCTCCGAAATTCGAATATTTGCACGAAATTTGAGTGCGATGATAAATAGTTCTGCGTCTACCTGACGTTACCAAGATGTGGACGGCCTTTACTAGACTTTTCAGAATTAAAATATTTGATTTTCATTTAAACGATAAAACAGTATCATATTCTAAATTGCACTCGATAATAAATGATGTCACGCATAGAATAATTTCATTTTGTTTTGCATCTTTTTAATCTTCACGAACAACTTATACTACAACTCATAAAAAAACTAAACCAAATCCGAGTTGCGCTGAAGGGTAATTTGAATCTCAAATCGATTTGTCAAAATAATCATGCAATTTGAAACTCGAAATGGGTTCCATTTAAGTGGATTTTTAAAAATTCTTGGTGAATAAATTTTACGAAAACGTCTTTATCGAATTCACTTCACGTCCGAAATCTTTTACGATGCTCGCAAACTGTAAAAACTAACCAAAACCAGAGAAAGATCTTCTCCATTGTGGCGTTCAGAGTTTTATGACCATATTTGATTGTCGGGACGAACAGAGGCTGCGTCAATATCATAGAAAATAAAATTCAGAGAAATGGTACGAAATAAAATCGCTATACAAGTCATAAATTAAAACAACAGTAGCACAGTTAAGGATTGTATCGAGTTCAGAAATCGCTATCCTAGGGCCGTTGGAAATAATTTGCAAAAATTACATGTTCTGAGGTTAGCCTCCGTGTGAAGGAAAGGGTATGCTGGCAGCAGGCCAACGGTGTTGGCTGCTAAGGAGTTGACTGTCCTGATGTATAGGATCGAAATTCCTGCAAGCGATGGCAACGATCATCAGTCATTCTGATGAATGTGGATCCTGCGAGAGGATGCGTTCTTGCCTCGACATGTAGTTGCGTGGTCTTAGGTGTAGCAGTCCTCAGGACAAAGATCTCACGTAGTATCCTAGTTTCGAAATAACATTTTGCATCAGACTCGTTGTGTATCGTTTTTCCTTGAGGTAATGTTACCAGGGACTTATCGTTATTCATGAATTCGGTTTGAAAATTATCTGTCATTAAACAGAAATTTTCAACGGTTTAACAAAACACGGGATATTTGTTATATACTAGTACATTTATTGTGGATGGTGTTCGCTTCAAAATTTTTAAGTCGTTGCCACTCGTTGATGCCGCGCAGTTTTCAACGTCATGCGTATCATGACCTTCTGATGGAATTATATTTATTTTACTATTTCCGAGACATCAAGTTTCCAGTACGGCATTTAATGTTATTCTAGATGTTTTTACTTTCAACTAATTGAGGAGACGTAACGAACTAAACTCTTTTTTTCTAGACGTACAATAATCAGAGCATTTCGAAGATAGTTTGTGTTTTTTTTTTGTAATAATTTGAACACATTAATTTAGTATTAAAATCTATGTTATGTTACTCATCCAGTTTACCTTTCTTCGATATCAACAATTATGCTAACTGTAATCCACTTTTCTGTATAGGTGGATTTTATAAAGTTCCGCTGATTTGCATCAGTAAATATAATTTCACTTAACATCTAAATAGACGAGTTATATCTCGTTTATTAATTGGAAGCATAATAGGAAACATTATAATTTGCTTTTCAAAATTAAAAACTTTAGGTAAGAGAGAAAAGAACGTAGTTTCTCTTTAAATTCAATTAATTTGAATTTTTCAGAAACGATTCAGAGATTAAATCATGCTTCTAAACTTACGAATATAATAATTATCAACCAAATATAAGAAAAACTAAATGAGAAACCAAATAAAACATAATATAAACAAAATTAACTGAGTGAAGAAGAATTTTTTCGCTCTGGAAATTCCATACATTAACTGGAGCTCAGCGGCCGTCGTCTAAAGTTAATTAGTAATTAAATGCTTCGTATTTGTAACGAACGGCAATGAAGACGGACTCTGTAGTTGTGGAGACTCCACTGAGGAGAAATTCCTCCGTACAACTTTCTCACTTTCTGAGCGTACAAACTATAGTTCCCCGAGCATTACGCATTTTTTCCCTCTAAAGACTTTGCAATTGAGGCTTGTTTAATGCAAATTATGGAAGCAAATACTATAATGTCTATAAATTTGTAAACAAAGAAAATCAATAGAATGGGAAAAAGACCATATGTTTAATACTATTTTGAAAAGCTGCTTAAAAGTTAATAATATAAAATTGCATACTTATTTTTGTTTCCTTTTCGCCCCTCGGCAGTTCTTTTTAGAGAAACGTAACATATATACAGTTTATTTTGCTGTTCCAATTGCATGCCTTCAGATAGCTTAGTATCCTTTATATCCTTTAACAGTTTTCTAATTCAGTTCAATAATAAAAAACCATGCCGTTCATCTTCCTTAACCTTATTATTAATAAGTAATTTCGTAGATGTAATTCGTGTCATCATTAATGTCGTCCAAATTAGTGCTTCCGTTATGTTAGATAAGTCGGTTGCTTGCTCACCTTTCGTTACTGTTAGTTTGTGAATGCCAGATTTTTTTTGTTCTGCATGAAAACTTGTTTAATCAAAACAGAATGTCATTACGAGCATATTCTTCAATAAAAAGGTTGTTTTTTTCGTCAATCTACCAAACATATTTATGCTGCAATTGAAGTTTATAGATATTATAACGAGTAGGACATAACCAAATGCATGCAAATTTGAAGCATTTTCAATGTCTAACTATGATGAAAATGTGATGAATTTCTAAAATGTAATTTAATGCATTCCCTGCCCTATATAAATGTAGAGCTTCACTCACGGATATATGCCATTTCATCATTTAAAGCTAATTTTACTGTCCGAACTAAAACAATTATCTATATATTCTACATACATGCATGCATCACTGCAATAATTGCTTATTGAACTTTATCTATTCTGATGCTTATAAGTATATACTAATGAGCATTATTCAATCGCAACAATTGAACACATGCCTCTAAATTATTATAATTTTATCATCAATGAATTATATTTATACACATTGTAGAGAAAAAGCCACGTATAAGTCGAAAAATTTGATTATCACTCGTAAATCACGACCAGGGGCCATACTTTCAAAATTTGCTAAGTGAACGTAAGTACTTACGCTCTATTTTCTTGTCTATGATTGTTGGATTTTGCTTGAAAGGCCTTCAATTATTGGCTGATGAACCTACGATCTCTTAACTTTTTTAAAAGTATAGGCTCTGAACTTTACCTTCAGGGAGCCTCGAGTCCCACGCGCCCGTCTAAGGTGTCTGTAGGGGACAGCGTAGACGGCGTCCCGGAAGGTGAAGAAGCAACTGACGGAGAAGACTCCACCATCGCTGTGGGCAAGCCTGGGGACAGTGCAGACAACGACAGGTGGGATAGTCTGTTATTTATTATGAGGATAGTCTATTGTTTATTGTGAGGATAGTCTATTGTTTATTGTGAGGATAGTCTATTATTTATTGTGAGGATATTTTATTATTTATTGTGAGGATAGTCTGTTGTTTATTGCGAGGGTAGTCATTATGTATTGTGAGGGTAGTCTAATATTTATTGTGAGCATAGTCTAATATTTATTTTGAGGATAGTCTATTATTTATTGTGATGATAGTCTATTATTTATTGTGGGGATAGTCTATTATCTATTGTGATGATAGTATATTATTTATTGTGAGGATAGTTTATTATTTATTGTGGGGATAGTCTATTATTTATTGTGATGATAGTATATTATTTATTGTGAGGATAGTCTAATATTTATTGTGGGGATAGTCTATCATCTGTCTCTTATACACATCTAGATGTGTATAAGAGACAGNTATAGTGAGGATAGTCTATTATTTATTGTGAGGATAGTCTATCATTTATTGTGAGGATAGTCTATTGTGCAAACTACATGCCGCGTGGTATAGTCTGCTGTAATAAAAGTCATACACTATATTATGTTTCAAGCAGTTATACGTTTGTGTGTCGGAAATATCTCCTAGTCAAGTGAACCGACAAAAAAGTAAAAATTAGTTAAAAAATTAATAGATTCGCTTCTTATAACATAACAAACGAACATTTACCGAAAAAATCCGATTTGCGTGATAATAATGACGCTGCAAGAGAGAGGAAGCCACCTGAGCTGATCTGCGTTCAGATAGAAAATTATTGTGATTCGTTGTGGTTATAAAATAACATAACATAACATAACATAAAGATGTCGGCACTGAAGCGTACCTAGGCCTGATGTAGCCTGTCCCCGACTCTTTTCCTTTTCGTGCCTTGTTCACAGTAGATCTAAAATCGTGTCATTTGACCAAAATGACGAATTGAATTAATATGAATAATTTGAATTAATGAATTTGAACAATGAATAATATGTAAATATTTGAACAAATATTATTCAAATATTTATTTGATTCATATAAATATTATTTGAATAAATAATAATTTGAATAATGAATAATGAATTGAATTAATATGAAAGGAATTGAATGAAGATTCATGAATTCATTAATAATTTGTTGTTCGTTTTCATCAGTTTAGTTTTTAAAAATTATCTATCATTTTTTCAGCAGGAGTTTCGAATTTCGAGCTACATTTTATGAACTTCAGACAGGCTTGAAGAATAAACATGTCGATGTTTATTTTTAGGTGTTTACATAACAAAGTTTCTATGATATTTATGCGTATATAAAGTTTTGAACCTTAATTTGGAATTATATTTAAAATAATTGAAGATTAAAATTACAAGAAGTCATGAAAAATTCTTATACTGCGCTCAATTTTGTTGGAAGCTAATTTATAAACATTCTTTAAAATATTTAAGTTGAGAAGAAATTATAAATGTTTAGACGTAAGACTTCAAAAATATCATTGAGTAGAGAAGTTGAAGTTCTATAAATTATAAATATTACCTAGAATATTTACACTGAGAAGAAGTTTTGAATGTTGATGCGTAAAATTTGAATGGAAGAGGCTCATGAAGAATGGAAATGCTGGCGTTTGTTTTGTTGCACTTTAATTAGCAGCATTTCGTACATTACATTTGTGCATATGAAGCTTTAATAATGATAAATACTCCATGCAATATTAACGTTTAGTTTAATATAACGTTTGTTTAATATAACGTTTAGTTTATTATTTAGTTTAATATATCCTTTAGTTTAATATAATATAACTTTTTAACGTAAATACAGGTATTAATAATATTAACGTTTAGCAGAAGTTTTGAATCATAAGGTCATAATTGCAGGGAGTCTTGGGACAGCAAGTGGCAGTACCTGCTGGCTGTCGTTGGGTACGCCGTGGGTCTCGGTTCCGTCTGGAGATTTCCTTACTTGTGCCAGAAGAACGGAGGCGGTGAGTAGATTGAAACTTGACTTATTAATTACCCTACATATTAATTAAAATTAATAATAATTTGAATTGAGTTTTTAACGAAATAGTCCAAATTAATATTTATTTTAATTCTGATTTGTACCTGTTATTTCTAATTAGCAACAACTTGAATAGTCAATTATCAATAATTTGAATTATCAATAATTTGACATGAATTTGAATTGAACATTCTGTAAATTCTAATTGTCTACATATTTGAAAGAAGCACATTGGTGACTTTTATAACACATTAATTCAGAGACTGTTACGTAGTCGAACTTATAACCTGTAGCGGCAGGTGTACCTATTACTGGGTATTAAATATCATTCGAATATAAAGTACTGAAATTACAGTCTCATTAGATATCGTACTATTTAAGTTGACCGAAACACCTGAGATTTTTTAAATTGTTTATTGGATATTCGGAAAAAATATCAATAAAACGTAAAAAGTTGAATATATTGACTAGAAATAATTGTTCCATCTCATTTCATCAGTTGCTTCGTTTCGTAATGATTAAACGACGAAATATATCACCGTTTTAAAAAATGCTTTCCTCGTCCACAAAGGAACACGAGCGCGGCTAAGGATCGTTCGGCGCTAATGGATGACGGAGAGCAAACCTGTCGATAGCGTGACCAGGGACTCTAGGTGCCAGGCAAACAATCCTAACCTGCGGCTAGCGTGATCAGGGACTCTAGGTGCCAGGCAAACAATCCTAACCTGCAGCTAGCGTGACCAGGTATTCTAGGTACCAGACAAACAATCCTAACTTGCCGATGCTGGAACTAAGCGGTTGTCAATCACGATACGTTTCAAAACCCCTTTCTTTATCAGTATTAATATAAAAATAACGGAATAGTGTTCACGTGATCTTTTCAGACTTCGACATTTGGACTGAATATATTACGTCAACATTAGCCACTAATGCCGACAAGCGAATTAGAAACACTTTTCTACTTGAGTTCATTAGTCAGTGACGAATATGCGAAACCCCTTCTAACCCAAATGACCGCCTCGGATTTGACGTCGAGATTTTTCTCGTTCTCGGATTTCACCTCGCGAGGCTCGTTTAGGTTGCTCCTGAACTCGCTTCACGGTCCGGACCTTCCTCCTGAAATCATAAACATTTTTTCCACCGGTGAATTTACTTGTTTACCTTCATAGAAATTTAGTCCGTTTGAATTTTGTTCAAATTATAATACATACTGTTTTATTTTATGTACTTCGTCCATATTCTTTAGATAAATACTTTTTTAGATATTATGTACAAATGACAATATATACTCTTCTTTAATGAAACCTTTACCTAGATTTTTGTATTTTTTCAGTGCCCTCCCGCATCTTTATTTTTTGTCTCTAGAAGCCTAGCCATTCTTGGAGACACATCAAAATTTATGTTAGTTTTTCCCTTTTATTATTTTTTATTTCAGTTCTTGTCTCTCATTTATTTATTTTTCTTTTTTTTCTCGGCATTCTTGTATCCAAACACCCCTTCTATGGAGCCCTCAGCTCTCTGTCTACGAGGCTACCCTCAAATCTACCCTCACCGCCCTCACTCACGCCCCATTTCCTTCCCCGTCTGACCCACTTCTGATGCCAGTATCTGCACGAGGACGTTACTCGTCCTGGGCAGCGCTTCGTCAGTGCCACGGTCCACTGAACACGTCTTATAACTGAAGTTTTGAACGCTATATATATGGTTAAAAAATATTATTTTTCCTTAAACTTTGAATATATTTTACAATATTTCACAGCTACGTGAGTTGAGTTCTCATTTACATGGGACTATGACACTAAAATATGTACGTTTCATGTTCTTTTCCTTATATTTAAGATTGCATGTTTAATACTTTGTCTTACACTCCGTTCAGCTCCTCCTAGTTGTGCTTATTTTTTTTTTATTCAGACAAGGCGTTTTTTCTAATATTATCATTAAATTCGCTTACACGGTTATTTACTAGAAGTGACATTCCATTTGATCTTCTCATTTTCCTATATGTTTCATAAACTTTGACGAAATAATTTGATTTTTTTTCGGCATTATACAGTTTTCTATTACTACTCATCTCGAGCGGAAAAGTCTGTAATATTTAGTTATATTATAATATAATTATTAGTTATAAGTCACTGTTAGAGAGACTGAAAATTTCTTAGCTGACTGCATTAGAACGTTTTATTTTTATATGAATTTTTCTCTAAAAGCTTTACAATTCTTCTTCAAGAGAGAACAATATGTTTCATCATTAGTTTTTCAATAAGTTTCTTTGAGTTATTTTCTTTTAACTTCGAACTTTGTAATAAAACCTAAACATGGCCGGTCAGTTGAAGTAAGAACCCTCTTAAAGAGAGCTCTGGTAACAATTAACGTTACGAGGCGAGACCTGACCAAAAATTCTAGCAAAATTAACTGTTTTGCGTACTATAAATGAGGCCTAGAATAATGGACGTTCATGATTGACGTAGGGGCACAGCTATCGATTGACATGCATCTCTTGGTCTCTGTGAATAAAGGAGTATTAAGCGTTTCTCGCACGATATTGATCGCGTTTAAAGGAACGTTGTCGTACCGAGCCCCAATGCCAACCCCAAACGTGGGCAGGCCAAGAGGGGGCGGCGGCTCCCCAGGGGAACGTGGTGTGGGCATGTGGGGAGGAGCTTGCTCAGCGAGCGAGATATAAAGGTGAAGGTAGACGAGTGAGCGAAGAGAGAAGGGCATCAGCAATGAAGGTATCGGGGCACCAGCAATGAAGGTATCGGGGCACCAGTAATGAGGGTATCAGGTATCGGGGCACCAGGACGAGGGTATCGGGGCACCAGTAATGAAGGTATCGGGGCACCAGGACGAGGGTATCGGGGCACCAGCGATGAGGGTATCGGGCACTAGGGTCCATAGGGTTTCAGGGCATGAACCAGTTTGCCGGCCGTAGACAAGATAATAGCTCAGTAATGGAAAATACTTCCTATGTTAATTGTGCAAATTGCCATCAAAGTAATTTCTTAAACGCGAAGACGAATTGAAAAAAGTAGCTAGACCAAAATAAAGCAAATAAACTTCATTTTGAAATAACTGGCGAAGAGTTTTCGCCTGATGAAGAAATGAACAGATTTATAATAAATAACTCAATTGAGCGCGACGAATAACTGAATTAAATGAAGCATGAAACTCCATCTTGTCAATCTTTATCGAATATGACCATAGATAAATTATGCCGTGACAACACAATACGGAATCAGTAATAAATCATTAACAGTATACATGAGCAGCCCTGTTAAATTTTGAAACGTAAACAAGACCATTCTTCAATTTATTCACGAAATTCGAAATTTGCCTGCTGTTATTTTATTTCTCAACGAATTCGAACTGTTATGTTACGACCTCATTGAGTTTGAACAGGTAATACTTGACTAAGAAATTTGTTGGCTAATATTGTAAATTTGTGTGATTAGATAAATGAAATAGGATCAATATTTCATATTTCATATTAATAAATTTCTGGACGAGTATATAATTAAACCTTTTGTTTCGACCAGTTGGATAAAATTGGCATTTAACTCAAGTTATAGGCTATACATTGTATTGTGATTATTCTGTGACAGGAAAATAAATGTTGACTTATTTCACAAATACAAACTCCGGCTTTATTTGAAAATGCATTAACCACAGAAATGCCATATAAACTTGCATCTAACATCTCACTTCTTTATCTGTATGCAATATATGCCATGGGACCAGAGTGATGCACGATTTACTAAATACTATTGGCGTTTCCATCATACAGCTGACTTACTAAACTTTCATGCACACCGTGTGTTGCAACGACTCTCGGAACTGCAGAAGTGAGCTGTTTGTTTTCGCAGTCTAATTCAGTAAACAAACTTAATTCTCAAACTCTCACGGTCGCTGCTCCAAAATCTCCTACATGAACGTCTGAAAATTTCATTCCATTTCCACACCATCTCTGGGGGAAAATAGGAAGACCAATTACAATTTTCAGAGCGAAATTGGGTAAACCTGAAGTTCCTTGATTCTGAAGATTTCTTGTCAGTTCTATGAAATTTTCATTTGGCATTTCTAAATTGACTTGAAGTTTGCTGAATTGAATTGATGCGGCTGCTGAGGAGAAGTTATAGCCAAGTTTTTTTTAGATAATTATTTGGGTGTGTATTTTAACCGGTTTGATCGTTGTTCATCGAACGACGAACACGTCAAAGTGATCGAATATTCGTGACCTACCTACAAATTGAACGAGTATCCAAGAGGATATTCATTAAGAAGTGATCTATCGAGACGTATAGGTAGACAAGCAATCGAGACGTTTAGGTACTTTAAAAATGTCCGTCTGATCAATAATTTGCTCTTCCTTTTTCGATAAAAATCAATCAAGAAGTGAATTGATAGGATTGAAAGCCCATGGGAATTTTCAACTGCCGCGCCATTGTGTTTGCGTTATTTATTTGAGTTTCCGACTTACAGTATTTTTAAAAAAATGTTTCAGCATGGAGTTAAAGAGCAAAAATGCGATAGTTTTCGACTATCTGATGCATTGTTTGACATTTTCTGAAATAAAAATTGATGTCGTGCAGGTGCTTTTCTGCTGCCCTACCTAATCATGCTGGCTGTAGAAGGCATCCCTATATTCTACCTCGAATTGGCAGTCGGCCAGAGGCTACGAAAAGGAGCAATAGGCATCTGGAATCAGGTAAATTCAAGCAAATATTATATTGCCATGCATTTCTGACACTTATTCAACATAAATCGACTGGGTCCCTGTAATCGTCAACAATCTTGCCAAGAAAACAATCTTTATCGATCATAAGCATTTTGTTTTCAACCTCTTAGCAAGCGTCGCTGCCTTCTGCCCAGACAAATTAGCTTGGCTGGCACTGATAGTTTAACAACTTAATCCGAAGATTTGTTATTGTAGATTTAGTTATAAAATATTTTTCTTATCCAGATGTCACCATACCTCGGCGGGATTGGTGTGGCTTCAGCGATTGTGTCATTCAACGTCGCGCTCTACTACAACACCATCATTGCCTGGTGTCTTTACTACCTGGCACAGGTGAAGCATTGGTTTTCTTGTTTATTATTTATTCACTGTTAGACCTTTTCTTAATTTACTCAAAATGCAACGTGACATTGACAATAATAATAACAATAAAATAATAATAATACTAATAATAATATTAATAACATTAAATAATAATAATGAGCTCCAGGAATTACATGACTTTCAAGCCTACAGGTTTAGGGGTGGGTTTGAGCTATATAGGACTACACCTAAATTAAAAATCTCGACCCGCTTAACTCTTCTATTAAATATAAAATAAATATTAACTGAACCCTCACATCAAATCAAGGCTCATGAAATGTACAAGGAAGGTTTCCGAAAACTCGGAAAAAAGGAAATAATCACACAAATACTTAACAATTCATACTACGTCTGCGGCACTATAACAATCAAACTATAATTATTCTTTCAAGAAGTATTTAAATTTTTTACTTTGACCATATTGAAACAAATTATTACTGATCTTTGAACGTGAAGCATGTAAATTGTGTGCAGAGTTTCCAGTCGCCGCTGCCGTGGTCGGAGTGTCCCAAGCAGTTAATCAACGGCACGGAAATCGACGTTCCGGAGTGTGCGGTGGGCAACTGAAGTTACTCTATTTTCTACTGATGATAATTTGACAGATTTGAATATTTTTATAATTACCATTACGAAATTTAGATGCTGGCCCGACTCTAAAAGAGGTGCCGCCTAGGCCTCGGGGAGCACGTAAATCAGCAGCTCTATGTCTGGTTCGACTCTTGGTTTGAAGGGCAGTTTGTAAGTTTGGTATGACTCAGCTCGGCCAACCCTGCTCATACTCTCAAGCGAGTATAAAGTCGGAAAGGAGATCGTGACCAGAAACTGATTTAGATTGGGTGGCCAAGCAGATACCGAAAGACTAAATGCCGAGTGTGGTGACCTGTTCACAGAAACCTAGGCGGCACCCAAATTTTTTTAGTGTAGGCTGCTCGTGGATAAATTGTACTTTTGAATGCTCATAATGGAAATACAGGCACAAACTTACATAAAAATCAACGCCTTGAAGAAATTTTCTCTGATCATTTTCAAGAACAGGACGTGAAGACATAGCTCAGCAATATTGACAATTTCATTGTTATAATATAATGATTTCATCTGAAAGCTTGGTTCCCAACACAAATTAATAAATTAATAAATTAGTGGAAAATTGACAGAAAGTTTGAACTCTGTTTTCCTATATAACCTGTATATAGTTTCTCTAACTATAATTCAAAGATGTAAACGATGGTGATTTTCTACAGATTAGCAGCCCCACTGAATATTTTTGGTACCGTGAAACACTGGACATCTCATCAGATGTCGCACATCCCATGCGCTTCAACTGGAAAATATGCGCCTGTCTCCTGGCTGCTTGGGTGCTGACTTACCTATGCATGGCTAAAGGAATCGCCTCGTCTGGCAAGGTGACAAGATTTAACATAAAAATAGAGTTTAGGTCTTAAAGTAAAAATAGATTTAAAATAGGTGGCAAGAGTACTAAAATTTGAATAATTCCTAATTATTCTCAGTAAATCAATGAAATTTTTTATCGTTTTAAAATACAGGTTTGGCTGTAACTTGTATTAAGTTGTTATTGATATCAACGGAAGTAATGAACTTGTTCAATGTTCGTCTAAAGCATGAAATCAAACTTCCTCGGCAGAAATTTTTCCGTTATTGTATTTTGAAGTTCATTCACAGTTTTTGAAGCTCGTTAAATATTTTAATATCTCATTTTTTGAATTCTCTTCGCTAGCTGAACTATTAAAGCATTGCCATCAACTTTTAATTTGCTGTTAGTCTCTGGTAATTGTTTCATTATTTATTATTTGATCAAAAAAATAATTTATGTGTGTGATCATATTTGGCTATTTAAATTTATTTTGTATGCAAAAAGTACTCCATTAAACCAAAATTCAAGCAACAGAAAGTGAAGAAAAACGTAAGTTTCGTCTTGTATTTCATTTAAGTTTCTTCTCATATATCATCACAATTTCTATACACTTCAGATGGTTGACGTGACCGCGACGTTCACGTACCTGCTTTTTCTGATACATTTCAAAACAAAAATTTATCTCATGCGCCATCACACTTTACTTACATTCCAGGTGGTTTACGTAACCGCGCCGTTCCCGTACCTAGTCCTCGTAATATTCTTCGTGCGCGGGATCACCCTCAACGGCATGGAGGACGGACTCAGACATCTTTTCACTCCCGACGTAAGAAATTAAAATTTCTACAATAAATAACATAAATAAAGAAATTTATATAATAAATAATACAAATTTTCATTTTTATAACTAATAAATGAAAGAAGTAATTCTGCCATTAGTAACGTTTATATATGGTTTTAAATGACATTTGCTAATCTCTAATCTCTGGCTAGTAAAAATGTTATCGCTTTCGTTGTTCAAAACTTAAAACCTAGCTTTTTTGCTTTGACGGTTTTTATGTTATGAACCCACCGTTAAGATGGACATCACCAAATATTTTGTTCTGTTTGTGCCAAAAGTATTTTGAATTTCTTCTCAAAGACCAATATCAGGGATAAATTAGAAGAATTATTAAACATCTTGACAAAGATTATTCTGAAGCAGCAATTAAGACATAAATAAACCAGATTTACGACCATGGACTTGATAATAGCACAGAATATATCCAGAAATAATAGTTGCGTAAATTGGATAATCGTTTTTATTATGATAATCATTATTCGAAGGAAGATGAGTGTTAAAATTACAAAAAATTCCATACATATAACTTGACATTCAGCTACTTGGACAGTGAAAATCATAACCTTAACTAAATGTGATAAGAATGAGAATATTTGTAGAGGAGGAAACGCTTGGTAATTAATTAACGAGGTGTATTTTTCTTAAATAGATGAAACAAACGTCAAATGATCCATTAATAGCATTCATTTTCTGCACAGTTCGAGAAACTCTTGGATCCGTCGGTGTGGCTCGACGCCGGCACTCAGATCTTCTTCTCGATGGGTCTCGCGTTCGGCGGCCTCATCGCGTTCTCGTCATACAATCCCGTGCACAACAATTGCTTCAGAGATGCCGTCGTGTGTGCCCTCATCAACTGCGCGACGGCCATATTTGCTGCCATCGTTGTTTTCTCTATACTTGGTCAGACTATAACTGACGTATGAAAAGCCTTACAAATTTGAGATAAATTGGAGAATTTTAGATTTTGATGCTCAAATGGAGTCTCTTTTCTTTTTTTAAATTTAGTTTTTGGATTATATATATCTTTGAAATTTATAGGGCTTGAAATTTTTTTGCAGGGTTTAAAGCGCATATCACGTATGACGAATGCGTGGCCCTCAATGTCACAAAATGTGACCTTGACGAGATCCTAAAAAATGTGAGTTTTTGTGTGAATAAATGAATTGATTTCAATATTCTCGGTAATAAATATGGCTTGTATGAGTTTCTTGAAAGATAATAATCATTCAAATTTGCCTCAGTCATTTAATGTATCGATCACCTGGGATTAATTTCCATCATTATTCATAATATTCATTTTGCTCGTCAACATTCGTCTTGATTTAATTACCTCATTCTTTGTGCATGGTTTTCATGCACGCTAGCAACAACAGGAAATTTTGCTTGACAGGCATTATTTCGGCCTTGAGTTCGGCAATAATTCCTTATTTCCGAAGAGCATAAAACGATTGTCTTCTTAAACCCGATACTTTTCATCAAAACATCTCAATCTGGGGCCTCATGTCGAGTCCATTCATTCCTTTCGAGGTGATTCGAGATAATGACCTTTATAATGTTTTCCTATAATAATCATAATGTTTTCCTATAATAATATTTTATAATGTTTTCCTATAATAATAGTTTTCTACTATAATATTTAGTACAGTTTTAATACCGTGACTAATCTCATGAATGTTTGTGCTAAAACGTGCCTGAAAGCACGTTTTGTGCGAGACCTGACATGAGCACTTCTTACTCTGGAGTTCTGCCCGCAGTCTGCTAGCGGGACCGGCCTCGCCTTCATCGTCTTCACAGAAGCAATAAATCAGTTCCCCCTGGCGCCCGTGTGGTCGGTGCTGTTCTTCCTCATGTTGTTCACGCTGGGTATAGACTCTGAGTTCGGCACGCTCGAAGGGGTAACCACTTCAATCGTCGACATGAAGATATTCCCAAACGTTAGGAAAGAAGTACTTACAGGTAAATTATTGTTGATAAATGAATCAATGTTTAGTAACACGTAATTGTGGTCATTCAATTTCAATGCACCGTAAACAATTCCATTAACGGATTTAGTTCCTAACTTTTCATCCGCATTTTGCGTTCAAAATTTTATGTAATATTGGGAACATAAATTCTCAATTTGAACATTGATACGAAAATTTGTGCTTAACTGAAAAATAGAGAATATGAAAAAACTATTTGTATCCTATAACTGAAAACTGTTATTCCGCAGGTATTTTGTGTTCTTTATGCTGCGTAATCAGCATGGTTTTCGCTCATGGGGCTGGCAATTACATATTCATTTTATTCGATAACTTTTCTGGAAACATTCCCCTCCTCATCATAGCCTTCTTCGAGTGCATCGGAGTATCATACATCTACGGACTCAAGAGGTAATTGCTATTTAGATTAGTTATATTTATATTGCTATTTACATTATATAGCTCTATACTTAATTATTTAAATGGAATTTGCGGTGACAGTGAAATTTCCAATCTGCTTGATTGACTGGCTTTTTTAATTAGCATCAAAGTGGCAACTGTAACGAGTTTTTTGAGCTTCCACTCTTGGGATTCGAATATAAAAAAAAGCTTCAAAAATACACCGGTTGGCTGTATTGTCACAGATATAACTGCAAAATAGCTTAAAAGAACTGAAAGCTTTAAAATTAACTTGATATTCAAGAGGTTCATGTATAATGATTGAAGGCATTAGCACTCATTTAGTATTTAGAAGGTTCGTTCTCTATTATTGAAAGCACTTAAATATATTCTGTATTTAAGATCCTCATTTTCAATTGATGAACGCGTTGAAATTCAGTTGTTCAATATATTGGGTTCGTTATAGAATTCAGTTACTTAAGTTTTTCTTGTAACAGATTCAGCGACGACATAGAGCTCATGACAGGCTCGCGTCCAGGCACCTTCTGGATGATATGCTGGAAATATGTCAGTCCTGCTGTGATGCTCACTATCCTCGGAGCCTCCATCATCAAGCAGGTAATCGCATCATATAAATTTGCAAGTTTTAAAATAGAATTCACTGAGAAGAACAGCCCAATGTCATGATATACTCAATCAAGCACACAATCATATAAATAATATATATGGGTTTGTGATTATTATTAATATCATTTATTTTTCAACTATATTTGTTATTTATTTTTTTTTCATTATTATCCTAACTCCTTTTATTATTGTTATTATTATTATAATTATCATAATAAATATTATTATTATCATGATTATAATTAATGCTGTTATTATAACTATAAAAAATCAGTATAATAATTATGTTATTAACTAAGTCTCCCCCATAGATGATGACAGGGTCGGGCTACGACGCGTGGGACAGCACCCAGGGCGTGACGGTGTACAAGTTCTGGCCGCTGTGGTCCTGGACCATCGTCGCCGCCCTCGTGCTCGTCTCGGTCTTGTGGATACCCTTGATCGCTGTCACCCGGTGGGTAAAAAGTTTTGTGAATGCTTACAAATTTATTAAATTTTGAATAAAAAAATACAAAGTTATTCGATTTATTACACTCATTTTATTATTATTATTTTTTTGCTTTGATATACTTACTATGCAAACGCTTACAAATTTAGTATATTTAGGATAAAAAACTTACAAAGTTATTTGATTTATGACACTCATTTTATTATAATTATTTTTTGCCCATATATACCTACTATTTGCTAAAATACCAGATGATACCTATAACTATTACTATATCAGCATTTATTATGAATATATACTAAATGAAATTTAACATTATTTTCATATTGCATTTGGTCACTCCCGTAATTTTTTTTATAATTAAAATTAAGGATGACGCAATTAAAAAGTAAGGAATTAACCCGAATAAAAACTAATTGAAAGAAGTTAAAACTAACAGGTGCTGCTTTCATATCAAGCCATGAACCAGAGATACGGTAGAAAGCTCTATTAACATATTATTGATATCCGACAATTTGCAGTTTACTAATTTTATTGATATTTATTTTGCTGATATTCCGCCAGGTTATGTGGAGCTCAGATTATCCAGGACGAAGAGCCCGCTTGGTTTCCAACTGCGGAACTTCGTGAATTTCACAGCATCGTGCCACACAAGGTGGGGGATGGACTTTCCACTTCATCAGCCCTCAATTGTCTAATATCATATAAAATAGAATATACATCAGTTGAAAGTACTGCCTTTCCGCGAAATTTACTAACCCTCTAGGGAAAAAGTAGGAACACGTTTATTACACGTTGATTTAACGTTTAATTAGCGTAATTTCAACGTCAGTTTCAAGGTTGGAAGCGACATATATGAGTGGGATCCCTAAAAAAAGCGACATATGGGGTATACCTAAATGGTATTCCCCATATCCCTTTTAAGCACCGTAATTTTAGCTGCAGATGACAGATGAGAAGTGACGTATGAGTGCAGGTAACAGTTTAATATCTATTTTAATATGTTATGTGATTGACAGGTCACGGCAACCGAGAAGCGTTTGTTCTGCATCAGAGACGATGGGTCAGAAGGACTTTGTTGCATCATCCCTCCACCTCCTGAAGATGAGTTTGACGATGAAGTCATCACTACGACACCACAAGCATAATCATGATCCAATAACACATAATTTTTTAATACTTCACCGCCATTTACCGAGCAAATTGGTGTGCTTGCTTTAGCAATATTCCTATCGAAATCTTAGAAGATTACCGTGGATATTGGTGGTTTTAAATTTATCGTCATTTATCCAGAACTATTTCTGTGCTGGTGAAAACGTAGGATGGGTTTAACGCACACAGTAAAGAGATGAAGCGAAAACAAAGTTCGTGGTTTGAATTTGCCGTTGATTCATTATGCGAGCGAGAATAGTAAGTAAAAAGCATGAATTTCAGAGTTATATCTAGAGAAATAAACTGAAATATTTGATGCAAACTATTGTTTATCAGAATTGAGAACTAAAGTCGAGTTTAGGAGCGATAAAAAATTTTCCATATTGTTTTTATATGCAGATTACTGCGAAATTAAAATAGTACATCAGTAAGGCTCCCAGTAATCAGAGATCTTAAAAATATTCGTAATTTATTTAAATGTATTAACCGGTTTCAAAGCTACACGAATTTTCTTTTCGCATGAACAAGAACGAGACGTACGTCCTGCAACTTAGAAAGAAAAAGTTTCGAAATTAATTTGTTTCGGATACATATTTGTCGAGTACATCGGATAATAGTGACGTTTTCACTTTCAAATTTATAACATAAAATATTGGCATTCCGTAGCTGAACGGAACACAGCCATATTCAACTGGTGTTCTGCGTAAAGGCACGTGGTCTTATTCTACGTTATTCCTACCCAATGCCTCCCCCAGACAATCTAAGAGAGAAAAATGGGAACGGGAAGTTTTTTATCTTGGTATAATACAATAATTTTACAATTCCAATTCTAATGGTTGAACATGGACAACGTAATGGAAACCTTTGGATTCTGAAGCGTCACAGAAAAGTCTATGTGGGAGCGACTTTTGCTTTGGTTTAGGGATTTTCTGCTTGGTTCTACAAAAGGAACAGCGACTTAATCAACTCGGGAGTCAAATGTCTTTTATTTGCACATGATGAGCTGTACAATGAACTCCCTGACTAACAATAAAATCAGATAAGATCTTGATTAGAAAATTGATATGCTTTGCTGGTGAGGTGAAAATTTAACATCCATGTTCTAGCCTCGATAATTCAAATACGGAAATGCGGTCCGACGATATTTAAACTTTGAGATTATATTTATAACAAGTTATTCGTCCATCTAATTGATTGTCGGAGTACAAACTTATTCTTTATGTGTAATTAATATCTCAAGAGCCTACGCGTGTAAAAGAATTATTTTATCTGGAGTATTGATTAAGGTAAATCTAATGACAACCCTGGCTGACAGGTTGAAATTTTTGCACTCACAAGATTGTCTTCCATTTTTCATCGTTTAAACATTCATACTCATAAGCCATTGAGCAAGTAACTACATCACCTATGCACGTCAGTAGAAAATAAGGCTATGCGTCAAGTTTCAATGTTAATGTGAATAATTCTTCTACGACGAATTTCTAATCTGAAAATGGGACCGAAATTCGAAACTTTAATTGTAACCTCACATCGATTTTGGTCATATTCAATTGTATTTCTGAAAGGTGATCCCTTTAACTTGCGAATTACCTAAGAGGCTTCTTATGTTGTATTGTGCGTGAAATTTCCCAACCAGCTGTGTGTTTTCAGATCGTGGTTTATTAGCTGTGTCATTTTCTCTTGAAGCAACGAATAAGGTGGTTGTACACGAGGACGATAGTGGCGGCCAGTATAACTTTTAAATACTATCTGCCAGTATTTACCGCGCTATTGGCTCGTGTATGGCCGCTACTTGCTGCGGAAAGACTCACCAACCTTTTCCACAAGACCAAGAGCATGATAATTAGTTGCAGTTTGAAAGTTGTATTGGCTGCGACTTCTATTTTAGTGTACAAGCAACGAAAAAGTGAATGGCAAATGAATGTCAACATCCAGTCCAGTTTCTTTTATCAACCCTATCATTCCAGTTTTCAAAATAAACGTTTTATAGTTATAATTATTTCTGGATGTATAAGGAGAACTTATGCAAGTACTAAATGAAACGATTCATTGGATGGAAAGTTTTCGTTATCGGTTTGGGTGAACAGAAAACTTACGATTAGCGTTTAACTTCAGTGTTATTATTTTTAACCGCACGCGTTAGTTCCCATTTCGGGGACTGTGATTTCTGTCAAACCACAAGAATGCCAAACACCATAGGTTTTAATTAAGATTAGATTTTCCTATTCTATCCCTCGAAATTTATCCCCCAAAAATTCTTCCTTCAGAAATGCTGTGATCATCAAGACGACCATCGTTGTTTTGTACTATTCTGGTCAGCAGTATTGACTGTCTCTCTGAGAAATTAGTCAAACTTATTCCATTTATGTAATGCATATTCTGCTCTTGTGTGGGTCATCCTGTCCTAGGAAGTGCGTCACTATTTGGTCAATTTTGTGCATTAATTTTTCTGAGTATAGAACTATTTCAGTTGTTTATTAGAAGGAGATCGAATTGCAAGCAGTTTAAATACAGAGTTTCAATGAAGTGCCGTAGTGTTGTGAAAGTCTAAGAGAAGTTGCATATTTAACTAGTGGATAATAAGAAACCATAACTAGTCGAGTAAAGGAGAAGTTGCTATATAAATAGCGGGTAATGAGTCGCCATAACTAGTGAAGTAAGCGTTAGCCCTGTTGTCTCTTGCCCTAACTAAATTAGCAAGTGTTGTGTCGAATGTTCCGTTTTGAGAATTTCGAGTGTAAATGCTTTCTCCATAGCGCGCTATTAGCTAGTGAAGTTTATATGAAGTTGTCACTGTTGCAGTCGTCGTATATGGGCCTTGTTACTGTTTTAATGGTTAAGCTTTCCTTCCTGATCAGGAACGAATATATTTGTTTTGAATAAGCATAAGCGTTGTGTACCTTTATCCAGATGCAATTGATTTTTATATATGTATTTAATGAAACGTTGTAGAATTGATTCTGATAAGCTGAGCACAATATTGCCGGGCATTATTTGTGCTCATTGATCGCGAAATAATAACTTAAGTTTTATCAGTTTCGCTTCAAAAAAAAAATGAAAAATAATCATAATAAAACAAATAATTCTTTTTAATTATCAGGGTTAAAATGCGTTTATATTTTACTGTTTGGCTGTATATTGCTGATATTTTCGATGTCGAATGCAATGGAATGCATTAATGTTGAAGCAAATTATTCATGTTAACGGTAATTAAATTATAATGGTAGGATTTAAATTCTCAATTTGGAAATTTTCATTTTTGTACGTTGAAGAAAACTAGTCCATGCTGATTGAAGCTGTACTGAATTTCCAGGCGACATATTTTTATTTCTTTTTCAATTTTTCCACTCAATATCATCGATGGAATATCGGTCCAAATTTTTCGGTAATAGTATCGGTCAACGTACCAAAACCGACATCTCTGTAGATAAACCTTATTTTTATTCAAAAGCAGAAATTTGGTTACCGCATAGTTCTGCAGCGTTTGATTTCAGTCTCAAGTTTCCACAATTACATGGTTATTTAATTCTGGAGGATTCGCTTTCTGTTGAATGAGAAAATATCCATATTGGAAATGAATGTTTTTTTTTGGCTACAGCCAATACAAGTAGGCTGGCAGCGATGTTTTTTTATCAAGAAGTACAGCTTCGTTGTTGCAAAGGCTTGCGTATTCTATGGTTAAATAATTATTACGGTTTTCATGAAATAACAATGTTTAATTAATTAAAAACGGTTTATTAGTGAAAAAAGATGGCATTTGTTGCAAATATTTTCAGTTATGACTAAAAAACCTAAGTTTCAGAAATTTTCATTTTCCGAGCTCGAACTATGAATATAAGTAGTACCTAATATTATTTGTATTACCTAATTTTGCACCATATATGCGGGATCAATTGTTTTCAAAGATCTGTTTTTCCCCACTAAAATTAGTAGTATTCTGTTTGTCTGCGAAAGGCAACGTTTCATTACGGTTGTGAGTTGTGCAAGTTCTTTAAACCTTTGTTACCAAGTGCCTCATCTTGTTTGTTGTTTTCTGCTTGTTGCATTGCTTAACTAGTAAGAGAATCTTTAAATCAATCCATGTTATATATCTTAAGGTGTAGTGATATCCTAAACGTCAGTTTTCCAGGCAAAAAAAAATCTGACTGGAATTGAACGATACTCGTTCATGTCAGACGAATTGTACGTCCACTTCAAGAGACGTGATATGGCTTCCATCGAGTTAAATTTATGTTATTTCGCGGATTGAAAAAAAATTGATGCGATGGTATATTTATAATTTGTTATGGAACCAAAACAATCTTTTCATGAGTGGACCAATAAATTATAAATTAAATTTTATTGTCAAGACGAAAAGTACTTTCATTGCCGTGCAAAAAAATGTCTGCGATGAAGTAATTGAAGTAATACGTGTTGATATGACACGCTCGAGCCAAATTAAATGTTATTATGTGATGCACTTGATAAGAATTAAAAAATAAATTGGTCACACTTACATAGGCAGATAAGCTGGTGTATAACACGTTCCGATTTGCACTGTGATTGGTCGGCAATTGATGCGTGATTCAAAAGCGAACTGTTCAGAAGGAAAGATGACGGGACTAAACTTTATTGTCAAATGAAATTTAAAAGAATCCAATTAAGTGATATATGATATAATTTTGATAGAGTGAATGATAATGTGTTTCTACAGGAGGCAGATGAATCTGTTTATTTTTCTAAAGCCCAGAAATTTTTAGATGAACTAATAAATTTTTTTTCCAGCAAGAAAATATGCATTGATTGAATCTAGTGATAGCAACATATCGCCAGTGATACTTCTATACGTGTTATTGCTTTGCGACCATAATGCTTGAGGCCTTGCACAAAAGCTGTTTTCGTCGTCCTGAAAGGATTAGAAGTACGGCTGTGTGTCTATGTCAGAGCTTCCTCGCGTCAAAGTTTTTTGCAACTTCAAGCCTGTCTTCACGTTGTCCCTGCTCCGCTTGATGTCTTCCACCAGCCTGCCTCAGTAGAATAATGATTGCCTTGTCATTGTAACACATGCCGCACCTTACCGAACTAATTAAACTTACCCAAGCAAGTTTAAGGGCTCCTAAAAAGAACATCGTAAGATCTCTAGCGATGCTTGGCCTGACCTGAGTGGGTGCATGGGATTCATTTCTCCACCGCGGTGCCGAACAATCCTGAACCAATATCTCCTCAGCGATACAGTGCAATGCTGTGCCCATTTCTCCTCAGCGTTATCGAACAATCCTGTGTCAATTTTTCTACTGCGACACCGTACAATGCTGTATCCATTTCTCCACCGCCCGCGGTACCGTACAATTCGGTGCCCATTTCCCCTCAGCAGAAACGTACAATGCGGTGCCCATTCATTTCTCCACCGCGGTGCCGTACAATGCTGTGCCAATTTCCTCCGCGGTACCGTGCATTGCTGGGTCCATTTCTCCCTTGATACACCATACAAGCAAACCTAAGCAGGAACTGTTTATTTAAATTTATTTGTATGAGCGTTTGTTTTCTATCTGGGAAATCATGAGCAAAATGATCTCTCGACTGTCATTCACTGCAGTTTTCATACATTAATTGATAGAAATTTTTGAGAATAAATCAATTCAATTGCCTGAAATTATAAATGTAATAGTAAGAAATGGGAAACCATTCATTTTTTTCGCTGCTGCTTCAAATGAAGATAAGTTGAAATTCAATCTTATATAGGATTTATATTTTTTCAGTTTTACCTAGTGATTGAAAGATTAAATAGTATTTGATTTTAATTGGAAGATTCGAAATGTATGAAATTTTATCGGAATGTATGGGATAAATAGATTGATGAAATTAAGTTATATTTCATAACTAAAAAATAAACTTCATTTAGGTGCAATGCTCTTCATTTTATTATAGTTTATAGAAGGGATTCCGGCTAAAATTTAGAGTTTGCGTTTTTATATATGATTGCGCAGTAATATTGATTAATTATTATTATTGTGATTAATCTGAATCCTAATTTTTAAACACGATCCCGACTAAAGTCTTTTGTGTATTGCTTCTAATACGCAGAAATTTTCTCATCTTATACCACACAAAATTTTCAATGCTCACCCGACATTTTAGATATGTAGCTTCTTGACCTGTGCACTTACGTGAAGCTAAATTATATTAAATTTAATACTTCATTTTATTTTATGGTGATCAGCACATGTCTACCCTAAAATTCAGAAGATTTTTATAAATTTATTCCAGAAGTTCTTTTTGGCTGAATGAGATGAAAATATCAGTGATTCGGTGAAAGGAAACCAGTGCTGCGTAGGCTTCTCCAGTGCTAACTGTACAGTGTTCAAAATTTTTTTCCAGTATATCCGAATTGTATGAGTACTTCAGAAGAACGAAGGCCAAATGAAGGCCTTCGGATACTGGTAGAAGAAAATGACATTTATACATAATATATATACATTCATTTATATAAATTCTGAATTTATATAGATTCTTCTGTTTACATGCGCTTCGGAAATAATCTATTTTGATGTGTTCTGCGGATAATGTTCTAGGGACATAAATTTATGCATGACTGAGCTGAATTTGATAATCATGGCTCAAATTTAGCACAAACATCAAGTGAATATTTTTACGCAAAGAAATTACATAATTAATTTATTAAAATGACAGGAATTTGAGTGAATCATAATTGAAACTGAATAAAGCGTCTCATTTAAAAAAATAAAATTACTTAAAATAACGATTATTTCGTTTATGGTGCGAGTCTTCCAACTTGACGATTTTTTTTAAATTGAAGCATCCAAGCATGTGCGCAAGAATTAATTTTGCAACTATACATTTGAAGTAAGAATTAGCATTGAGTTTCCACAAGAGCAGTCGCATTCTAATATCGATTGCACGGGTGCATGTATAACGTGAAATGTAAATTCTGTTCTACTCCTCTTAATGATATGCAGTGGGCTCACGGCAGGTCAGAAATTTGTTAATATTCAGCATCTCTCTGATGTGAACGCTATAGACTGTACAGTGTTTGCATAATTTAGATCGTCATGTGCGAGGAAAATAAATCGGTTGAAGTTTGATGACTTTTGTTGGCCTTTAAGTAGATTCTCTTACTGAAATTGCATGAAAAAATGTGAATGATGGAGCCGTTTTTGCAGTTCAACTGCTGCCATGATCGAATGAAATTGCATTTATAGATTATATTTCGTTTAAAATAGGCGTTATATTGTGAATAAGTTTATTGCTACTATATGATTTTAATGTTGTGTCTATGAGTTCAACCTAATTTATTCGTTAGGTAAATATTCAGTAGCGTTCATTTTTTTCATATTAGTGATTGAAATTGAGACAATTTTTCGATTACGTTTGAACAAATAGTGAATTCCTCATCTTTTCAGGTAAAAATAACCTTAAATAAGCTCCATTACAAAGTACTCGTACTTATCTTTTGTGTTCTTTAAACGTGACTCCAAGATTTATTTGACAAAAATGCTCAAATTTGCAAGATAATTAACGAAGATAATACTAATAAAAAATAAGAAGATATAACGAAGATAAATGCGAAGATGTAGCGATAATAAAATGCGTAGATACATTTGAAAATTCTTGTGCCGTTGGTGGAACCAATGATGTACTTGCCCAATGATCATTGTTGAAAAATATAGATTTTTCAACAAACAATTTTAATTTTAACAATATTAAAAATATAAATTTATAAATTTGACAGGTAGCCAAGCTACCTGTCATAATATATAATAATGCAGCAAAATTCAAAATATAAATTTCAGAAAACAAATTATAAAAATAGAGATCAAGGACAGGGTTTGTGAGCGAAAACAAATTAATTTAATTAAAACAAGATTTTTGCATTCCACCTGAATCGATAAAAATGTATGTATATATTGCACATTGTTCACCACTTCAATTATGTCAAATGGAGAGTTTAATTCCAATAATCAAATAAGTAATTTAACCACAAATTTTTCGTAATTAGTATGAATTAAAAACCTATACTGACGGTAGCAGAAGATATTTTTTGGCATCAGTATCAGTTGGTATCAGCCCGAAGTATCAGCTTCAGGATAAGAAAAGTATTTGTGAACAACATTCACTTATATTATTGACGAAGAACTACGTGCATCAATGATGCCCGCACATACACATACAATTCAGTGAGATTTGAAGTTGTTGATACAGCCTCTCATCTCTCGTGCTTCTGAGCGCAAAGCTGAATATTCAACAGTGAGCTATAAATATTGAGTTTAGAATCTAACTTACATGTGTATATATAAGTACATAATCAGGTCTAATTGTCATAAAATTTAACATTATATATAGGTATCACTAACGCAACATGAACAAATTCACTAGTTTATTATTGAAGAACCTCATTGTTTTATGAAACGAATAAGCAAGAAGGAAAATAATAATATTGAAATTTTTTAAGGAATTTTTAAATTTTGTACCGGTTCATCGTTCGTACTCAGTTTAAATTGTTATTGCAAAATTTAAAACCGAGAGATTTGGTGCGATTCATTAATTGATTCAGTAACTCAAATGGATCAAATTATTTAATCCTGATGTCTTCGCTTCTTTCTGAACAATAACTTTTCGAAATATAAATTAGGAAATCAATTCTATCGTCGCTAAGAAATTAATCTCTCGTTTAGCGGGATGATAACAAGTTTCGCAAAATATAGCTGATACCGCGTTGGCAGCTGCACGAAATATTACTATCATTCTTGCGAACACAGCATTTTTTTATTCTTTAAGAATATGTCAAGTAAAATTAGGCGTGATACAATGAAAATAACATTAAAAGTAAGCCTATCTTTTCAATAACAAATTACCGCTACGTCGCTATTGAAGATCACAGACTAAGCATTGCGGCAGAAGACGATATTACAAGCAAACCGGGTTGTTCAGAACAACACAACACGGGGATAATCATCACGAACATCAATTATATTATTATTAATCAGTCGCATATAATGAGACGTGGAATGGAATCCACATTCCTGTATTTCTTCAATAATCGTGTTTTCTCCTTCGAACGTTTAAGGATTTAATAAAAAAGGGTCATTCAATATCACAAGGGATTCACGCAAACTTCCTGGTTTGTACTTCGGGCCAAGCAGCCAGATTTGGCAGGAAAAAATCGAAAGTATTTCGTGGGAAAGACGAGATCATGAAGTTTTGTGTCTAGCCTAGTCAGTTGCCACTATGCTTTGGACAAGTGAGCAGCGTGCGTTTGCTGTCGATGCTTACTCTTCTAATGACCATTCCATTATCGCTACTCAACGAGCACTCCGTACTCATTTTTGTATTCGTCCTTCAGGCCGGGCTCTTGATCGGAAATCGATTGTTACAATTTGGCTCCGTGTGATTTTTTATGGGGATATCTTAAATAAATTGTTTACAATGACTGTCCGCGAACAGTACTTCATTGAAAGAAAAGCATACGCTAAGCCATCGCCAACATACCAGTCAATATACTTCAGCGACTTGAACAGAACTTCAAAAATCGACTAAGTTTATTCATTGATAAATGAATATTGACAATGGGGGCTGTCAATTGTCCCATGTCATTTTTAAAAGTAAGAGATCCAAAAGTTAATGTCTTTTTCTGTCTTTTTCAATAAAATCTATATTTTAATAATGTTATTACTAGTTCTTTTTTTTTAATGAGCTTTCCGTGTAAAGCTGTAAAGCTTTATTGTGCTTTTTAGGAAGTTTCCCTGAACCTCCCAGTATATAAGTGATGAAATTATAAAAATTTCCTTCTGGGACTGATTGCTGAGATCACAAAAAGATCATAATCAAATAAAATTATTAGATGATTGTCAAGCAGTATCTTGGCAATGTATAAGAGAAAACATACCAGGCAAACTAGAGAATTAATTCATACTTCCACTATATTCGACGATGTTGAATATCATATAGTATAAAAAAATCACGCTTGCCTGTAGTCCTCCATGGCAAAATCCCTGCTTAAATTAAAACTTTTGAGTCAGTGAAGTCGACAAGAATTAGACATAGAATGAGATAAGAGGAGTACTGAGTAACAGGTTTACAGGAATGTAAACAAAGACACTTTTACAAAAGTTTGTCTACATGGGGAAGCTACCTTCTATAGCTTCCTCATTTATATACGGGAGTGAACGTCAGGGGGGTCGAAAAAGACGTTGGCCGCACTAGCAGACATTCGCATCGCTCAATATTAATTGATAAAAGAGATAGCAAAATATTTAACAATATCAGCTCTAATGAAAATCCATAGACTGAAATAGTAGTTTCAAGATATTTATAACTCGAGAATCATTTTTTATAATTCACTGATATTAAAATTGAAATTCATATGCGGTTATTTGTATGAGTTTGTTTACAGTTTACTTTAAACTGACAAATTATTAATTATTGTCGCTATTTTTCCAGATAAATTGTGTGTACAATTGGCCGAGTTATACAGCTACACACACGTCAATTCAGTGATCATAACGAACCCGTTGACATTATCGGGCTAGGTACTTATTATTGAGGACTTAAATTACAAGGGTACTTGCAGAGATAAAAAACAGTAAGTCTACGAACTAGTCCACCTCGTTCAGCTACGCTAGGAAAAGCGAGGTGAAGCCGGAGACTAACACGAACTAACAAAAAGTAACTAACTTGTAGCTATCATGTAGCTAACTTTAGTTAACTTGTAGATAACTTGTAGCTAACATGTAGCAAACAAGGTGCTAACATGAAGCTAACTTGTAGCTAACGTGTAGCTAACTTGAAGCGAACAACATATAGCAAACATGTTGCTAACTTGTAGTTAACATGTAACTAACATGTTGCTAACATTTAGCTAACATGAAGCCAAAAGGTAGTTAACACGTAGCTGGCATGTTCCCAAGATGTAGCTAAAACGTAGCTAACATGTAGTTAACATGTAGCTAAAACGTAGCTAATATGTACCTAAAATATCGGTACATAAACTCTGTTCTACACGAAGTGTTGTGATAGAAAAAAGACTACAAGACCGAGCACAACAATCAGTAGATCACATTAATGTTTCGTTATACACAAGAAAAGAGTGCAGGTAGCAAAGCAGCTAAAGATTGTCTCAAACACGATACAGAAACCGTGTTCAGATTCAGGCAAGATGAAGGCGAAATGTTCAAACTTTTCACATATTTTTCTTACACCTGGAATTTTAATTAGAATACGAAGCTGTGTTAAATGGCTCATATCAACAGGGATCCTTAGAGATGAAGAACAAATTTATTCAATATAGTGTGAAGATTAAGCCAACTGCGTCGTTTTTATAATAATCTATATTGATTCAATTTCAACAATAGACTAAATTTTTCCAGTCTCGAAAGTGTTGCCGAACGCAAGAGTCGAACAAATTCTTAGTAACTGTGGAGGACTTGGAGAAATCTAATGCAAATCACAAAATTCAACCTCGTATACAATGTACTCGATATTAATGCAATCAATTGTAAGTCTTAACGTAAACACAAACTCATTATATTTTTAAGAGCTTAGTTGCAACATACAGAGTTATTTTCTTGAAAATAATATTTTTATGTTTCTTTATGTTGCTCATGCACTAGTACGACATGCATGAGAGAAAACTCTCGATATATGTTTAGAACAATGACAACAATTAGCATAATCTCTTATATACGTGAACTGATTGTCCTACGATAGTTGAACCTTATTGGTAATAAAAATTTGTTCGAAAATTAACCCATATTTTTAAAAATAGTTCGGAGAATCCTCTCCTGAAGTAAAAAGTATCAAAAAATTTTTCATATTTAATATTATATACTGTTACTGATTATGTAGTGGATTGAGGACTTAACATTATAATCTCAGAATGAAAGTCAAAGTATTGTAAATACTCGAATTTCTGGGGATTGTCATAAAACTTTTTAAGCTTAATACCGACTTAACTTAACTTAACTTTAACTTTAATGAATGATATCTCGCTGAAAACTTTCTTCAACAGCAACAGTAAAATTATTCCGTATAAATTAGATATGTTTAAATGTTTAGAGCACCAATTGTCATGCTATTGAAATAAATAGCGTTGGAAATTACGTTAAATTTATTACCTTGCCTGTTACCTATACAGGCCAGGTAATTTATTACCGGTACAGCCTCGAGCGCTAAGGAAAAGTCACGAGACAACTCCCTTCGTCAGAAAAAATGATCAGAACACCCCCATAACTCCATATGATCACGAGAAGGCAATATGGACGAAGGAGAAAATTTGTGTGATACCACACAATAAACGATGCATGGGTGAACACACAACACGGGAGCGCTAATACTACGTGGTATAAACAGACGAAGTTCATAAATACATGACATACAAGGGCACACGTAACACAGACAATTCTCTAGAAGCGTTCGATAACGACAAATTACTGACGAAAGGTAGGAATTAACTGAGTTTCCCCCAACCAATTAAAGCAATATTTGATACGATCACATGATGGCATCAATTCAGTTGGGGAAAATTCAGCTCCATGACCTCCGGGTACGAAATGTCGTATAAAAGTCTCACTTCTCGAGTTGGGCAACACTGTACAAATGCTATGGAGGTAACATATATAGTCTACGCACACATATTATATTCTCTGTGATAAAAACTGTGCGTAGTTTAAAATGATCAACGAGACTCGTAATAACACTTCTGTTATTTAATATCTTTAGCCATCGTACCTCTTGACTGATGCCCACGACGAATGACTGATGCCCACGAAGGCAAAATGCAAGTTTGCTAAGAGATTTTCGCGAATCTTGTACCGAAAAAAGCTACAGAAAATTTTCGCATTCACTTACATGATATTTGTCAAAAACATGTTTTGGCCAAATAAGGATGGCTGATATCTTCATTCATTCAACTGTTACTGAGACCAGCGATAACCATTCACTTAAATCATTCATCGCCTTGCCACTATATGAATGAGCAAATACATTATTTTCTATTGAAACACGTTCAAGTGTGGCTAGACGATCATGGCGTTAAATAAAGCAAGTCCTGTAAGCGAACTGCAAAAAAAGCAGCTAAAAAAATCATTCAAAGCTGAAATTTGATTCATGTAGGTTGAAGGTGTAAAATGTCGCATAGTCAATTTTATTAATTCGATGAATATTCATACCATTTTTCTCTTCGTATCCTGAATATTAGTTTTGAGAACAATCGTACAGCAAATACTACAATTTCATTTCATATCTTTTTTTCATAATTCTTAGATGGTGAAAGTTTAGATTTTAGTGATAGAAATCGCTTTAGTTACTTTCTCCTGAATCAGAGTCTGGCCTTCCTAACTTAGGTAGGAGAGTATACCAGCCTGACACGGGCTTACCGAAGTACAAATCGCCCAGGTTGATTTCAGCCGAACCAATGCACTTGTTATGAGCAAAGTATTTAGATTTCTCCCAGACCATCACAAGAAGGATTTTACCGAGAGCGTCGCTGGGCAGGTAGCGCACGGTCTGATGGTAGACGGGCTTCGTTGAGCTCTGGATCACTTTTGTCTTCCGCTTGTTGAATTTCGATTCCCGGGACTTAAGATAGGTTTTCACGTACGTATCTGAAATTATTATAAGAATTCGATTATTGGAAAAAAGAATTTAATAATAATTTCTTATTTCCGTGACTTTCACTATCATGAAAGTCACTTGAGGATTCAAGTACACATCTGAAGTTTTTAAGGGATAAATAAAATTTGTAAAAAAGTTACATTGGAATTTCAGTGAATTCGACCAAGTAAATAATTGAATTGTTTTTTTATCAAAGTGTAAATATTGTGTTTAGTTTTACATTTGACTTTTTGAATTTGTTATTTTTAAGGTAGCATATGAATTCTTATCTGTACGGTCGAACGGGAAGTAATGCTTATCTTATGTTCTCATGCATAAATAATCATATTATATTGGCTATAATGAATGCTGATTAAAAATAAGCACATCAGAACAGTAAAATTCTTGATGTTTAAGTCGAATAATTAAAACATGATATGAACGTCTCAGTATATGAGATAATTAAAACTTAAAATGACGGGTTTTGCGCAGGTAATATATCATTAAAATAAGCAAAATCAACTCAGTGTAAAATTCCCAACGTCTTAATCGAATAATTGAAATATGAAATGAACATCTAAGTCGGATAATTGAAAAATGAAATGAACATCTAAGTCGGATAATTGGAACATCACATGAACATCTAAGTCAGATAATTGAAACATGAAATGACATATAAGTCAGACAATTGAAACATGAAATGAACATCTAATTCGGATAATTGAAACATGAAATGAACTCTTAATTCGGATAATTGAAACATGAAATGAACTTTTAAGTCGGATAATTGAAACATGAAATAAACTCTTACGTCAGATAATTGAAACATGAAATGAACTCTTCAGTCGGATAATTGAAACATGAAATGAACTTTTAAGTCGGATAATTGAAACATGAAATAAACTCTTAAGTAGGATAATTGAAACATGAAATGAACTCTTAAATCGGATAATTGAAACATGAAATGAACTCTTAAATAGGATAATTGAAACATGAAATGAACTCTTAAGTCTGATAATTGAAAATGATGTATTTGCGGTACCTGGAGGCCGTCCCGACTCTGCGAGTGGGAGACCCCTGGCGGAGCCGATAATGACTTCCAAATGGAGTTTGGTTAAGGAGAGCTCCAGCAGGATCTCCCCGGGCGAGATGTCATCTGCACGGTCGAGATTATATCAGGCAAGTATGCTGGGCCGCCGACGCCATATTGGCCTCGTAACGGTAAACATTTTCCGAAGAAAAAAGTGATTTAAAACAGTTTTTTGGTATAAAAGAAAAATAAGATGTCTAAGTTAAAAGTTGATTATTTATTGTCCGATTGAGAAAATCATGTTTTAAGTTTAGTGCAACATGAATTTATTTTCATTTCGTTCGAAAATTTTAACTCAGAGTAACTGATAATAAATATAATCAAATTTATTCATAAAATCTAGTTGCCAGTTAGTAATGCAAACAGCAAAAAAAATTAATTCGATCAGTAAATAAAGAGGTTAAGTTAACCTAGATATAGTATAATAGGAGAAAAAGAAATGGAATGCATTCGGAAGGTTAGTCTGCGACACGACGGCTCTAAGAGATATGCGACAATCATGCGAACATTTATGATATAAACGATCACTATTTAAAAGAGCGCTTGTACATGGAACAGGGAAGGCAGTGATTGAAAGATGGCTTGAATTAATAAGTAACATGAAAGGAGGAGTTAGAGTTTATTTTAATGACAAGTGTCACACGTTGACAGGGGGCAAGGCACTGACGCTATGTTCGGTACGAAACGTTTAGTCACAACACGTAAGGTTCTCGATCGCTTGTGCATCCATTGATGTATTTAATACCAGATCTAAACAATAATTTTAGATAACTCAAAAATTTATCTATTGGTGAATTCTTCTTGAGAACATTACTAGTGATTTGTTGTGTTTGTGATGAGCACTGTACTCATGTTTTAATAATTTGTTAGCTTAGCTTAGTTTTGTTTTAACAGAGGCTCAAATAACACTATATAGGCTCATTATAACAGCCACCTTGTTCTCTTGAAGCCAGTTTACTCGTTAGAAATACTACTTTGACAAACGTTAATTTGCCTACTAGAATTTCATGATAGGACTTTTTCTCAGAATGAACAAATTGACAATTAATTCAGCGCTGATAAAGGCAAAATTGAATAAAAATTTGTTTGCATATGTCGCGTACGAAAAGAAATTGAATTGAAGTAACCACGCGCGGTGGCACTGGGATGGCAGTTCTCAACCATTTTATAAACCGTCAGTGCACTTCTTAGTTAGAATTTTTAAGGGATAATAAATACTGGTACATATGTTAAAGTAAGCGGCATATGTAAACATTGAAAGCATGGTGACAGTGCAGAACGTGAAAGAGTAAGCGAGAAAGACGAAACACGAGAAAGCCATTCTGTGGCGTGGATGTCCGTCTGTCCGAACGGATTTCCTCCCCGCATTTAGTGAAAGCTTACGTGCGCAAAACAAGTCATCTTGATAAAGAGCAAAAATTTCAAGTCCAGTCATGTTCCCATGCCTATAAATTACAACAGACTTGGTACTTACTGAGAGTACGAAAGAATAAAAAATCTACAGGAATCAAAAAAATAAAAACTGTAGAGTCTAATGTATGAGCTATGAGGTCTCAAAAAGCGCAAAAAGAGTAGTATTGTGATGTAAAAAATACTTGTATGCGTTCAAAATTCGTGCTAGGCACTGAGATCGATGGCGACTGACCTGTATAAACTTCTCTATAGCCTCGTGGCAAGACTTGACAAGGGCCAAGCATAGGATCACCTCTGCTCCACCACCACACCACAGTTATGGAAGATAATGGAAGACACATCAATTTATAGACGCAACAGACCAGCTGTAGAGATAAGTACACGCTTCATACATTGGGAACACAAACGTGTGAGTATAGCAGGGATCAAGGCAGGACGGGTACACTGATGTCACCGAGTAACTAAAATTAAAAAATTAGCAAAGTGAACGATGTTAGGTTCATGAAATGTTTATAAATAATTGAAGGTGAGTCACAAATAGAGGTTTAGTGTAACATGGCCTAAGGGAATTTGAGAATCTCGGTTCTTGCTACGACTCTAGGGATAGAACTAGCATTAATATATACGTGAATAGATAGGAAGTACGAAGATGCACAAGTATAGAAATGGATACAATTGAAAATTTAATAGAGATAATAAAACAATTTGCAGCATAGCTATGAAGCAAGCTTAATTAACATAAAAATAACTATAACTAATTATTTATTACAAGGCAACTTCATGCAGAGTTAGCTGCACTCACTCAACGTGCTCTGATCGACTTATGTCAGGCACCAGGCAATCATTTAATTTCCATTGCTGTTTAATAAAAAATTTCATAATCACTCGAGTCCCACAACTCAGAAGCAATAAAAATTAAAATCCAGTGCACACCTCATGGAACTTGTTCATACACATGAGTGATTAAAAAATTTGATAGATGTTCAGCTCTGGAATTAAGCACGAGTGTTTCTTAAACCAGATTGTTTGGCATATTGCGTTGTCGCAATTTCAGTTATTACAGATAATAGTTATCATTTGTTATATTACATATATTGCTTTTGCATGAAATATACCATTTATTAAAATTAAGGAGCAAAAAATATATTATCTTTTAAGCATTAATATAATATCGAGTAAAAAACTCGTATTGGATGAATAGAAATCATCTGGCTTTGTGATATTACTCAGGTGATAATTCAAACACCCTTTTTTGAACTTCAAGCTTGAATAATTTCCTTTTCAACATGATTGTTGCACTAAGCCGGAAGTGTTACTTAGATGGTTAAGCCGGAAAATTAAGTGGAAAATTTCGCTTCCTAATGCTTACGAACTTGGAAAGAGCAAAAAACCTACGCACACACTTCACGCTACACACCTCGGACATACCACGGTGCAATCATTATGCAAAGAACATGCTGCATTATAAACACACATGCTACACCCTATGCACAAATATCACACTCTATGCACACATGTCTCACATTATGCACACACGCGCCACACTCTATATCCATATCCCACACTCTACACTTATACGCTATACCCTACGTAAACACCAAAGGCACATCACAACTATCATGTCTCACAGAAAGAACTCCATGCAATAAATGAAATTCTTATTTCGGCAGCGAACTTGAAATACGAACCTAGAACGTCTGGTTACAGTCTTCTATTTCAACAACTAAAGCTAATTTGAATTGCGATTTCATGAACAACGGTCATTTTGCCAGCGCAACTATCCAACGGACTATTGATGCGGTTTTTATAACAGAAATATATTGAGTCTCGTTTTATTGCGTCAAATAGCGAAGATGATTTCAAAGTAGAAAAACACTATGACTGATTTTATTTTGTTATAACATCAATACAGGTTTCATTGCTCCGAAACATTGAAGATTATTGCTTCAAATATTAACCCTCTACCGCTGTATGTCACTCTCCCGGAACATAACTTTCATCTTAGATTATACTTAAACTATTGAGTGTAGCAACCAGAGGACGTTTGTACGCAACAGAGAACATTTAAAGATGTATGTGGCGGCAACAATCAGTGCAAGTCATTTTGCGCTCACTAAAACGTATCTTTTTTGGGAAGTAGGCCTGTGAAAATATTGCTCTGGTTACTCATGTCAGGCGGTAGAGGGTTAAGGCTGGTTCCAAAGCTAGAAAGTGTTGAGAAAGGATTTATGACTTCAGAGATATTCTGATATAGATTCGTTCGTTAATTTTATTCAAATCATAGGCTGAATATATAATATGAAGTATCAAAGGAACGAAATTGATTGATTTACGGATCAACCAACATCAACTGGAGAAATGACCGCTGGATTTTATACTTTTAACGGATAAATAGGACCTACGAAAAAAATTTCCAAAAATCAAACTCGAATAGTAGCTATTATAAAATTTTCAAGGAACTAAACGTTGGGCACGCGTTACAAAAATTCATTCCACAACTCGATTAGATTTACTCTTGATAGTGAAGATGAGAATTTCTTGCTCCTTATAGACGTTTCCTTGGCGTCTTGTTTGCTAAAGTTCACGTGGTTTCATATATTTTATGGTAAGTTGTATTGTGGTTGCGAGATTTCTTGTGTAGTGAATTGGTTGTGGAGAGAAATAAACACTCGTCGCTAGTGGCAGTGAAGGGGTTAAAGTAAAATTGCCAACAATGTGCCAGTGTTGAAAAACAGTAAAACTGTACGGAAGAGGCATTGATGGGTGAAAGTAAAACTGCTTGGGCGTGGCAGTGAGGGAAGAAAGTAAACCTGGTTGTACGTGGCAGTGAGGGGTGAAAGTAAAACTGGTTGGAAGGGGCAGTGTTGGGTGAAAGTAAAACTGGTTGGATGTGGCAGTGAGAGGTGAAAGTAAAACTGGTTGGAAGGGGCAGTGATGGGTGAAAGTAAAACTGGTTGGACGTGGGAGTGAGAGGTGAAAGTAAAACTGGTTGGACGTGGCAGTGAGAGGTGAAAGTAAAATAGGTTGTATGTGGCAGATGACAAAGTAGCAAAATTTTACGGATAAAATATGAAAATTTTCAAATAAGACGGATTGATTCGAACTTTATGGAAATGCCAGCGTTTGAAATAATGTGATGTCCTAAATACAAATAAACTCTACATGTAGCGTTTTTCTAGGGAATATGACCGTATTTGACTGTAGCAAACGAAAACAAAATATGCAGAATAGATCAATGGAAGAGTGTGAATGAATTTATTTGATATTGTGATAATACAAATGTTTTATTATAAATTAAGAAAAACTTTTCACAAGTGGATGTTGTTTGGAGGAGTAGCGTTTCATCGGGAGTTTGTTCGAGAGTGCGATGCAAGTTGAGTGATAAAATTTCATTATTAGTAGAAGAAATTCTCGCTCAGAAGAGAATACAAATTTTTTTGTTAACAACACAAACTATAAACAACTCATGTATGAATCAAATGTCAACTTTAAACGTCATCATTGAGAGCTACAATGCAAATATATACACAATTGATTCTTACTGAAAAATTTTCAGTAAGATTTTATCAATCAGAATTTTCACTTCGCGTTTGTACCCATTAATTGTGCTTATAGATTTGCAATTTAATTCGTTTTGAATTACTGTTGGTTTAGAAACTATAGTCCATTATACCGCCATAAATTGAAATGGATTTTGGGGGATAAATAGTTATACGCGGCATAAATTATTGTCGATTTGAAAGGAAAATTCAGTTAAACTGTTTTGAATTAATGTCGATTTGAAAGAAGCTTGAATAAATCCTTTAATAAATAGAGCTGCTTCAGAAGGGTAGTTTATTCAACCCGCCACTTGATTTTTCTGGTTTATGAGGATAATTCGTGTTTACCCAAGCCATGAAAAATTAAGTAAATTAGGTCATAGCTGAAGCAATTAATTAATATTTCATTCCGTTAAACAGTTCGGGAGTTCAAAACAGGGCTGGTTGCCGTACATTTTTCTTTTTATTTATATAAAATTAGAATTTAGTTTAGGCAAATATGGAAGTGAAGATAAACATGTAGCGTGAATAACCTCGAAATCTTATTTGTAATGTACGATATTCGTTTTATTAATGCCGTTAAAAATTAGCTAAATAGGCAGCTTCATTGTATTGTAGTTGCTAGGAGTATAATTTTCATCAATTCAATCAACCAAATTATAATATAATTATCATGTGAAGCTTTGATGACTTAATTACTATCATACAATTTAGGGAAAACCCATTTTTATTCTTATTTTTTTCGGGACAATTTTTCAGTGAATTGAGTCCAACTAAACTGACACGAAGACATGAAAGGCATAGCACAAATAACACAGCTCATGAATACAATACAGTGAGAGATATGAAATGTAGCAATCTCCACGAGCGTCAGAGACCAAGTATACAGGCACTACGGATGCGTCGAACAAATTCGATGTTTTTTTTCTAGTTAGACAAGAAGTCAACGTTCCAGAAACACTCTCAAGTAGCCAATTAGTTGAAGAATATAGCGTGTCTAGTATAAAACAATAAAATTTTTTGGAAATTTTTAGATTACAAAACGAATAAAAAAATGCAAAATTAAAACTGTCAATGGATACTTAGCGTAGTAAAGTGCCATAATTTCTGTACATATCAAGAAAAAGAAGTGCAGCAAGTGCATTGATATAGGAACGATTGCTACTGTGATAGTATTTGCAAGTAGTGCTTATATATAATATATAACTACTGCAGCAAGTGTGGAAAATGCTTGAATAATAATATCAAAGATCTAATGGACAAGGGATAACAATGTTCGCCGATCCCAACCAAACTTCAATTTTTCCGACTCACAAATTTGTACAACCGGAAGATTATATTAGAGTGAGAACTGCAAGAAATGAGGTGCCTAAAACACGGAGAAAGCAATTCAAGTTTGGAAAATTCCAGCTGAAAATACAAGAAAATACTTCAGGTTATTGTAATAATTGTTCTGTTAAAAAAATGACTGAAGCCTAGGACTGTGCACAAAACCGAAATAGTTGCAAAACTTATTCGAACAGAAACTGAACTTTAACAAATTTTCCAATACATTTAAAAAATGATTAAACTATTCTATTTAGCAGCTGATTCAATGAAATTAATACTATCCATGTTAACATTAAAACATAGTATCACCCATTTAAGAAATTGAAATGAGATTTTATCTATTTAGAAAGCAATTAAAGTTTCTGGAAGCAATCCCGACCAGTGAAAGTCAGCTCTAATTTTGTGAAATTAAATTTAACTTGTTTCAAGATATCTGAAAACATGCGCATAGCTAAATTTTTCTTTTATATTTAATTTAAAGATATTCGGTAGGAATCCACTTCCCATATGCACAGGTTTGGTGAATTTCACTGAATAATTGAACTCCATTCAAAGAAATTTTGTTTTGTCATTGTTGCATTATTAATTTCATTTTACTACAGCACGAAAATAAATATTTCTCTCAGAGAAATAATATTAGGCTACTTCCCATTTTTTGAAATAATAAATTTAAATAAAAACTGGGAACTAACTAAAACTTTTCAAAACGCGCATTCTGCATAAAGTCGTATTCTCATTGCAAAACTCTACTTCTGTCTAAATTACCATTTCGAAGGTATTTGAGTTATTAGATGCACAGAGACTAGGAAGCTAAGTTTTAAAACTGCCTTTTCTGGATAAAATAATTAAATGCGGGCGGACTGTAACTCAAATGCGGTCAATTGTAACGAAAAATCATATATGAATTATGTGTATATGCTCAAATGATAATCAACGGTAGGTCATGTCTAATTGTTCGAGATGTATGGAAAAGCTAAATAAAATCAGTACCTATAAGAAGTCAGATATCAACATAATATCAACCAAATTCGTGGGCAATGAGTTCACATACCTTGAGTTCCGAATGTCGTCGTCATGGCGGTAGCCTCCTGTGGCGCTGCCTGAATTGAAAAATGTATTGAACACAATAAATGAATTATTAATGCATTGTACACAATGTATTGAATACAAAAACTGCACAAAATAGCCATGAACAATGGCTGCACACAATAGCTGCATAAAATAGCCATGTACAATGGCTGCACACAATAGCTGCATAAAATAGCCATGTACAATGACTGTACCCAATTGCTGCATAAAATAGCCATGTACAATGGCTGCACACAATAGCTGCACAAAATAGCCATGTACAATGACTGTACACAATAGCTGCATAAATAGCCATGTACAATGACTGGACATAATAGCTGTACCCAATAGTTGTAGGTACGCAATGGCCGTACAAAACAGCATAGGAACACGTAGTACAGAATTCAGTCGGGAAACATTGAGAACAAAATGAGCAAAAGAAAATCATGGGAAAAGCGAGTGCAAAAATAGCTTTACTGATGTTATGTATCATAAATTGATACATCAATAATGATTTAAATGGAATCGTGCATAATAAGCACCTTAGGACTCAGACAAAAATTCATCACACATCTTGACCATATCACAATTACTAAAACCACAATACTTTCTTTCATGCCTGAATTAAGTTTCATCTAATAAGAGAATTTAAGATGACACGAAGACTTGCTCTACGAATTTCCGTTTTTCAGGAATTTCGATGATATTTACATCAAAATGACATGGAATCATGAAGCATGCTTCACTCAAAAATCACCGGTGCACTGTGACACTAGAATAATTTTACTGTCAATAGCCTAAACATAGAGCAGATGTCTGGGTATAAATACATAATATTTAATTCTTTTTTGGTTCATTATAGGTAAGATTAAAATATAGAAAAATTCACAATTCAAATTGGCATTTAAGAGCTGATAGGAAAAACACTAAACTTTATTTGAACAAAAAAAATCTCAATCAATATGACTGAAATTTAACTGGAAATTTAATGATTCTTTATGCCGCTTAAATGATACAAGACAAAATTAGAAAAATTTTGTAAATATTGACTTCAAGAAAATTCGCAGAAGTTTCACGATTTTACTTCATTCACTCCAACTCAAAAATTATGCATTTTTTAAGCAACATGCACTGAGAATCAAGCCATCGGAAAATTTCAGTCACTTACCTCGGAAAGCTTGAAAGTTAAAAGCGTTAAAAGAGCATTCAGCTGCAGTGCAAGCTAAACTGTGAGTGCGCGGAGGCTGCTATGTACAAAAGACTTCAGAAGGCCAAAATTGCTGGCGCTTGACGTACGAAAGAGTTGGTCAAGAAGGCAGGCGCTTGACGTACGAAAGAGTAGGTCAAGAAGGCAGGCGAATAACCTACGAAAGAGTTGGTCACGAAGAGAAGCGCTCTGCGTTCGAAAGAATTAGTCAAGAAGGCAGGCGCTTGACGCACGAAAGAGTTGGTCAAGAAGGCAAGTGTTTGCCTGTCGAAAGAGTTGGTCAAGAAGGCAGGCGCTTGACGTACGAAAGAGTTGGTCAAGAAGGCAGGCGCTTGACGTACGAATGAGTTGGTCAAGAACACAATACGAACAGCGACTACGAATGGACGAAGTCGCGTGCGGAGTGAAGGATCAAGAAAGAATAAATAGTAAGAGAGAAAAATAAATAGAACGGGGAAAAGAAGAGGGAGGATGAATTGAAGTGAGTAAAAATGAGTTTAAAAAACGTGGGAGATTTTAAACCATATTTTTTAAATTAGGGAAATTAAGAGAGGACATATAGAGTGGAAGTATTGAGGTAGTAAACGATGAGAAAATATGGTGGAGAAAAATGGTAGGGAGAAGTAAGTGAAAGAAATATTTCGTAATAATTATATAAGACCAAATGAAAAGGAAGAACGCAAGTTCAGAGTAAATAGGAAAATGAAACTATATGTCAGAAATGTTATTTATAGCGAAAGATAAATTAAATCAATCGGATATGAGAGTGAAAAAGCCTGCGCGTCAATGAATTGGAAGGAGCAAGATACGCTAACAGAAGGAATGCTTCAGATGTAGAGCCGAAAAATCGAAACATTTCAAATAAAAACAAGGAAGACGAGCGAAAGTCGATCTCGAGAGATACGATGAAAGTAATTATGAGAAATGTGAAAGAAAAGTGGAAGTTACCGGCATGTAAAAGTCGAATGCATACTCAAATTAGCTAAAAGAAAGATGAAGAGAGCAATTAACAAAAAAGTAAAATACTTCTACAATACTTAAACGTCACCGCGCGCTACTGGCATGGACACGCAGCGCGGTCACAAACTACAGGGTTCTTTTTACAGAATTGTGAGAAAGGCTTAAAGCAACCTAACCTTGGAAGACAGAATGGTCTCCCCTCAAAGACGATGACCTATTGAGATTGTTCCTGAACGAAGAAGCCCCATAGGAGGACCCTTGACCAGTTAGCCAAGCAGGCTTTGACCCAACGTCCCTCCACCCCGCCTCCTGCAGCAGCTCGTTCTGCGTGGTCACTCTGACGCTGCGTGCGCGACGCCGTTGCTCCACGGGCGGTAAGAATGCAAGGCGGTCCTGCAGCTCCTCGACTGAAGGGCAAATAAGGTAAGTATCCTACGAATGAAGAGGGAAGAGAGTAAATGTATTACTCGGCTGAAGAGCAAACACGGTAAGGACTCTTCGAATGCCAAGGAAGAGAGTAAATGTACTACTCGGCTGAAGGGCAAATAAAGTAAAGACACTTCGAATGAAGAGCGAGGAGGGTAAATGTACCACTCGACTGAAGAGCAAACACGGTAAGGACTCTACGAATGCGGAGGGAAGAGAGTAAATGTACTCCTACTCGACTGAAGAGCAAAGACGGGAAGTTTGCTCTTGGACTGAAAAGCGATGAGGTAAGTGAACTCGACTGAAGAGCGAAGATGGTGAGGAAACTCAACTGAAGAGCGAGGAGGATATGTGTACTTTTCGACTGAAGAGCGAGGAGGATAAATGTAATTTTCGACTGAAGAGCGAGGAGGATAAGTGTACTTCTCGGCTGGACAGCGAGTAGGATGAGTATCTCGACAGTAGAGTGAAGAGGATAAATGTACTCCTCGGCCGAAGAACATCGAGAGAGTGTAAGTGTATTCCTCCACTGAAGAGCAAAAGAGTGAGTACTCCTCGACTAAAGAGCAATGACTGCTCGACTGTAGAGTACTTAGAGTAAGTGTAGTCCTCGACTGAAGAGCAAAGACGTTAATTACTCTTTGATTGAAGAGCGAAGATGGTAAGTGTTGTGCCACATTTTTCACTTAGACTAAGACTAAGGCACTGAAAAATTGTGCAGATATGATGACTTATTCACTGCATATCTTAATACTAGTGAATAAAATTTTGCACCAAATTCTAATAATTGAGTGCAATTATAAATTATAATTGCACCAAATTATAATAATAATAATTGACATTCTTGAAAAATCAAGAATGTTACATTATTCATTCTGTATGTCGCTAGTAACGTAAATTTTTCTGTATGTAAACGTAGTAAATAGACATGCTTGTAGAATATTCATTTATCGCTGAATTATGTAATGTATCAATAATTGATTGATCCAAATAAGACATCCTCATGAATTGTTGAAGATAATTTTATGAAACCTCCGAGTTGTCGACATTCAATAAATATTACTAGAATGAAAGCCTGAAATAAATCATTACCTATTCGTTTAACAACATTTATAATTTGATTTGCTAACCTTAAATCAAATAATAAAATTATTTGGCTCTTCGTATATATACTTTCAAAAGTTATTATTATACTTTTTTCGTTCACACTGCAGATTCCGTAACACAAAAAATGCAATACAAAGTCAATAGGCCATTGCAACATCTAAAATATATAATATTATTGAATTTAAGCTATTGCCTTAGTTTTCAGCTAATGCAAATTATAAATGCAGAACTTAAGAGCAAGTACTAATGAAAAAAATATATATCAATATCCAGCCAATGCTATTGTTTCGTCGAGCAGCTAACACATTAGAATGAGCAACACTCGCTTCATTAATACTTTATTTATGCGCAAAATGAAATAAAAGTGAAAGATGCTACACGTAGTTTTCAAAACAATCCACACATAACATTGGAAGCACATGACATCAATGCACCGATTAACAAACTTCCCTCATCAACTAATGGCCCGTGGGAAAACATTTAAACGGTTGCATAAATACCAGGTGTTATGGCCAATAATCTTGGTCACATGACAAATAATCACAGTGGGATTGTTAATAATCATGTTAATATAGCCAATAATCTAGGTGGCATCACCAATAATTTTGTTGATACGACCAATAATCTTGGTGGTTTGATCAGTATTCTGGGTGGTTATTGCTAATTTGATTGGAAGTGAATACAAAACTTTACACGAAAGTGACAATTTTTGAAGCAAATTTTATGAACCAGTAAAATTTAATAAAATTGGTTCTCAGTTTGAATTGATATCGAAATTGTATCTTCACCATTCCAGAGATAATAAATTTTTGGCGCATGAATTTTAGCAAAAAATTTCAAACGGATTTTAAAGCCGTAAATTTCAATGTAGAGAATAATCCCTAATTAGTTCAGGCTTGTAATTACAGAGGGCTGATAAATACAAAATTCTGAAATGACCTCGTTTAATACTGATGCTTCATTCAGAATTTGCATCTTATGTTCCTTTGTTTATTTTCTTTCATTAATTCAAACTATTCAAATTAATCAAAATTAATCGAGTTTGACGTGTAAGTTCTCACTTGAAGTTAATGCGTTTATAATTATTAAAAGGTATGAACCCGCATAACACATTCGAATCACTATGATTTTTTAAATTAATTGTCTTTCATGACAAGCGTGTTAAGAAAATGGACGTTCAAGATGTTTGTACCTGGGATTAAAATTTACTGCTTAAAATATAAATTATTCTTATTCAAAGAATTTAAAACTGGACGAATAACAAAAAATATTAATATTTGGATTATATAAATAAAAAAAAAGAAAAAAAAGAAAAATATTTATGTACGTACACTCATATCGCGTGTATTATAACGCTGAAATTGAGTACAAATCCCTGTTTCTATCGGGCACGAAAACTCTAAACTTACATTGAGGTCACAAATAAGAAAATTTGAATAAGAATCACCCTTTATATCAGGCGAGTTTGGCTGCGGGGTGCAGGCGAAGGACGATCGCCTGCTCTGCGGCAGAGAGTGCGGGAACTGACGCGGCAGTTGGTAGGCTTCACACTCCACGGTCTCGCTCACTGATGAACCCCTTCTCGAGCCCGACCTGCACACCACCGAGCATATATTGAAATTTGAACCCATGCAAAGGGATCTTAGGTATAAACCCCTTCTCGAGCCCGACCTGCACACCGACGAGCAAATATTGAAAGTTGAACCCCATGCAAGGGTACCTTAGGTATAAACCCTTTCTCGAGCCTGACCTGCACACCGACGATCATATATTGAAATTTTATCACCTTGTATGAGGATCTAAGGTATAATCCCTTTTTCGAGCCCGACCTGCACACCGACGAGCACATATTGAAATTTGAACCCCATGCAAGGGGATCTTAGGTATAAACCCTTTCTCGAGCCCGACCTGCACACCGACGAGCATATATTGAAATTTGAACCCCATGCAAGGGGATCTTAGGTATAAACCCTTTCTCGAGCCCGACCTGCACGCCGACGAGCACATATTGAAATTAGAACCCCATGCAAGGGGATCTTTGGTATAAACCCTTTCTCGAGCCCGACCTGCACACCGACGAGCATATATTGAAATTCGAACCCCATGTAAAGGGATCTTAGGTAGGAGAAGGAGAGAAATCCTTCCTATAAGGATCTTTCCTCAGGAAGAAGAAATGCTGGGCATAAAAATGGAAATGAGGTAACGTTTTTGCAGCGTGGTATGTGAGTCAGCATGATGAAATAAGTTTTAGCAACAATTAATGGGAGAAGATATAATTAACATCACGTGAAGCAATGGGACGTAACAAGTAAAAGTAAAGAAGGCAATACGAGTTATAAATTGATACTGGGGAAAAGGTTATGTATGGACTGATCAATAACTTGCATTGAAATGATTGCAAAGATAAATACTGATGCAATATTAATAGCTAAATCTGATTAAATTAACCCGATTCTACACTAATCTGAGGATATTGCTGGCAACAACATTTTATTAGCTCGAGATTCTGCGAATATCTTGTCTCCTTTCTTTTTCTCAAGCGCACTATTCGCAGTTTTCCAATAATGCCTGTTCGCAGCCTCTTTTTGCTCGTGCTGCCGAAGCCGAGCTCTCGTATCGTAGAGGGCTTCGGTTCATCAGGTCTGCCACTGTCTGGTATTTGCTGACAGTTGCGGGAAGTCCCGGGATCAGGCCCTAATTTTGTTCTGGTTGGCGGGAACGAGCCCTGTCAACCATTTCTTCACTCATCTCTGCGACCGCATACTTAATGAGCGACTTCGATAGTGACTGCTGGGAAACAGCCCCAGCGCCTCGACCACTAAGCGAAGAGTCTCCAAGAAAGTTTCATACCAGCGACCACTGCGGTGACTTGAGAATCGGCCCCAGCGACCTCTGAGCGCTTTGACTGATTAAAGTTTCGTACCAGCGACTACAGCGGTGACTGTTAGGAACAGGCCACGACGACCTCTGAGCGCATTGACAGAAGAAAGATTTATACCAGCGACCCCAACGGTGCCTGTTGGGAACAGGTCACAACGACCTTTGAGCGCATTGACTGAAGAAAATTTCGTACCAGTGACTCCAGCGGTGACTGTAGGAACCAGAACCAGCCTCTGTGCCTCGACTACACCCTCTGCTTGCGACTAGCGGTCCCACCCTCTGCGCCTCTGATTGCGACTAGCGGTCCCACCCTCTGCGCCTCTGCTTGCGACTAGCGGTCCCACCAGCGGTCCCACCCTCTGCGCCTCTGCTTGCGACCAGCGGTCCCAACCTCTGCGCCTCTGCTTGCGACTAGCGGTCCCACCCTCTGCGCCTCTGCTTTTGACTAGCGGAACCACCCTCTGCGCCTCAGCTTTCGAATAGTGGAACCACCATCTGTGCCTCTGCTTTCGGCTAGCGGAACCACCCTCTGCACCTCTGCTTTCGACTTGTGCAACCACCCTCTGTGCCTCTACTTTCGACTAGCGGAACCACCCGCTGCGCCTCTGCTTGCGACTAGCGGTCCCACCCTCTGCGCCTCTGCTTGCGACTAGCGGTCCCACCCTCTGCGCCTCTGCTTTCGACAAGCGGAACCACCCTCTGCGCCTCTGCTTTCGACTAGCGTCGGAAACAAGCTCAGATGTTTTGACCACCATTCGCCATTCGATGCATAGTTAATTTTTCACAGTCAAATGCAATTCATGATGTCCTTGCCCTTTCATTATTAATTCCTGGATCACTAGCTCATCGATACTTCATCCATATTATCTTATAGCTTCAATTTATGGCATTCAAAATTATTTATGGCCATTTTTGAAATACAGTCCCTGACAGCTTGGGAAATACCTTAATTTCCTGCTTTACTTAGTCATTGTAGAATTGTATTTTAAATAGCTATCTAGGTCGCGACGCTTTACCGCAACAACATCGCTTAATGCACAAACAAGACTGAATACCTAAACTAAATTCCACTCTGCCCATAGCATAAATCATTCCATTGATACATCGTTTTCTCATTAGAGGATGGGGTATGAGATAAGAATATCGAGGCTTCTTCATGGCTCCTTATTCATGAGCATCGCCAATGAAACTTTTATATTGCAGTTCAAGGCAAGGATCTCTTTGATCAGATTGCAGACGCTCAATGCCTCGAAGCACTCAAAAGGAAACGGATTTCTTCATCTCAGGCCTGTGAGCCCGAAGTCGGGAAAGAGCATATTCAACAAATAATACCGTTAAAGCCTTTGAAGTTTCATTAGCAAAAGACCCCAAGAAGTTCCGCTGCGTGCTATAATGATTAAATTTAAACAGCACTTGTTAAAATAATAGGACATATTGGCATAATAAATCGAAATGTAACAAGGAATAGTAGATTTTTAGGTGTCAAATTAAACCTTAAATGTAGATTAGAAACCACAGACGTACTGTATTTGGGCAAGACATTTATTCTGGGGCGATTAGCGTTACAATTTGCTGAAATTTTCGAGAACAGGATAACTAAGAGGCCTGCTTTCTATAATAAGTCACTCACAAAACTTCATAAACATGTTAAAATCATCTTATTACGTACGTAGCCATATTCAACAGAAAAACAGTGCAAAGGAAAAATTTTCATTAAGAAATTGCGAAATATTATTCATTATTAAAGATATATGTATACAAGACTTCTCGCTATGCATGCAAAAAACGAATAATTATTGTGCGGCAAGAGCGTGCGATGCCGACCTGCAATGCTTAAAGACAATCACTCATGCAATGCGATTTACTGCGCACAGATTAGCACAACATATAGGGTGGAAAATAGACATTATATTATCCAAGCAGGAATGTTCTCTCGAAATTAGAAACAATAATTTGTTGTTTCGCAGAGGCGACCAAATTCCAGAATTTTTTATTAATGCTGATGTCATTGCTCATGTTGTAAATAAACTGAAAAATGTTTTTTTTTTACTCATTTTACCGAAACAATTGAATGTGCTCCAATTGAATCCCAAACGATTATGAATTTCTCGTTACAAGTTTTTCCGTTTCAATGAAGCGGATCACAAAAAATGATTGAAAAAATGTTTGAAAAGTAGAAGGATGTTTAGCGATTTTAGTGAAAACATCGATGGCAAGAGATGCAAAAATTCTGAAAAATGCGAGGAAACTTTGTTTGAGGCGTTCAGGAGACGAATATTTGAATTAAATAAAACGCTCATATCCTGCACAAATCAAATTGCCCCAATATAGATGATAAAATTTGATTGAAAATGAGAAACAGGAATGAAAATGTATTGAAAAATTACTTACAGGTGTTGAATTTTCTCATTATTGCCAAAATGTTCGCCATGAAGCGGTTGTCGAACAATTTAAGCGGCCGGATTCAGTTCGAGCTGTTAAAGTTTACCGATTCATGACCTCTGGATGTTCGTGCTGCGAATTCTACCGCCATTTGCGAGTGAACCTCTCCGAGACATTGAGGAAATTTATGTGGCGAACGTGGCGACAGCGTAACGACTTCGGCATTTAAGCTTTTACATGAGGCCGAAGATCAGTACTATAGTAATTTAATAATTGCGATTATAGCTCGGCGTGCGACATATATAACCCAGAAAATTGCGTCGCATGTGTCTCAGCAAACGTAAAATTTCAGACAGTGATGGCAATTAGAGAATTTTATGAAAAAATTTCTGTTGTAATGAGGCTCTAGGCACATTACAGATCGTGGTCTGTAATAATGCAGCTGGTATAGAAAAAAGTGGCAAATGAACTTGCTGAAATAACGGTGCCCAGTTATTTTTTTACACAAAAAACGGTTATCCCGAATATAAGCTAATTGGAATTCATGCGTAAAATACATGCTATCAAAGAAAATATCGACAAAAAAGTTCAATTCTAGCCACGTCATATACATATTTGGACTTCACCTTAAGTATTTCAAACATAATCGATGTAATTCAAAGTTTATACGAATAAAATGTCCAAATTTATTTGGCGAAAAATTTTCTCGTAACTCATTAAAATTTACATATCACTTACTAACCCCATATAACATGTAGAAGGTACTTTATGTCCACATTAATCCAGTACCTTGAGATTCTCAAGGATCTGATTTGCAGTGGCTCTAATTATTGTAATATATAGAACAGTGATATATAGCATATAGTGATATATAGTATAGTGACCCGAGAAGTGCTACACCACTTTCACTGATTGGGTCAAACGCAATTTCGGGGCTGGGACGCTGAGTCCGAGTTTCCTGTGAAACTTTTGGTCATTAAGAAACGGAAAGAATCTTTGGCGAAGAAAGTTCAGTAAGCTAAAAATAAGATGAAAGATTGGTACTGGAAACGAAGAAGACTCGTATCACAAGTCAAAGTTAGTGCGAAGCTATGCAAAAGATTAATATGATTTTCAGAGTGATTTTGTGTTATTTCCGACTGATTTTTAAATAAAAATGGTAGATTGCAAGTGTATAAAATTGGAGTCTTTATAGGGTATATTTTGCTCTAGTCTGGCAGCACTGATACAGCACAAGTAAATGAACGGTATTTTATATTATATCATGTGTCACCTGGTTTTAGGTAGAGAAAGGTGAAAAATGTTTCACTGTTACGTATACAAGGAAGTTT